GACTAGGTGGGCGATCTAGGTCAAGGCATGTCCCTTCTCATCCCGTCTCCTACAGGTGTGGTGAAAATAAACGAAAAGCTCTTGGAAGAGCACAGGGCATACGGCAGCACTCCATAAACTGTGCTAATGGGTAATGGATACCAGAAGATGCCATAAATTGTGAAAATATTTTATATGGTACAATACCATTATACATTTGTCCAAACCCACAGAATGTGCTATGCCAAGAATGAATCTTAAACAATGGACTCTGGGTGATAATGATGTGCCCGTGTGGGTTCGTGGATTGTAACAAATGTCCCACTCTGGTACGGCATGTGGACAGTGGTGGAGGTTGGGGCACTGCACCACACTTAAGGGAACTCTGCGTTCTGCTCAGTTTTACCTTGAACCGAAGCCTGCTCTAAAAAGTAAAGTTGGTTAATAAAAAAGTTAAAAAAAAAAAGCCTTGCCATGCTCTCTTCCAGGGGATCTTCCTGGAGGGAAGCCCCAGGGATCAAAGCCCCATCTCTTCTGTCTTCTCCTGTATTTGCAAGCGGTTCTTTACCATTAGTGCCAACTGGGAAGCTTTTTTTTAGGTTGGTGCAAAAGTGTTTGCGGTTTTGTATTATTGAAATCTGCCATTTGATATTGGGATACATTCTTAAATAAATGTGGTTATGTTATATACCATTTTAATGTGCATTTCTCACTTTAGTGGCCAGCAATCAGAAGCTGACAATGACCAATTGAGAGCATTATCGAAGCTGATCCTCTTAAAATTACATGAAATGTTGCCCAAGAACTCAACGTCAATCATTCTATGGTTGTTTTGCATGGAAACAAATTGGAAAGGTGAAAAAGGTTGGTAAGTGGGTGCCACAGGAGCTAACTGCAAATAAAGAAAAATCGTCTTTTTGAAGTGTCGTCCTGTCTTATTCGATGCAACTGTACCAAACCATTTTTGGATCAGATTGTGATGTGCGATGAAAAGTGGATTTTATACAACCAGTGGTGACTGGCTCAGTGGTTTGACCTAGAAGCTCCAAAGCAAACTTGCACCCAAAAAAGGGTCATGGTCAGTTTGGTGGTCTGCTGTTGGTCTAATCTACTACAGCTTTCTGAATCTTAGTGAAACCATTACATCTGAGAAGTATACTCAGCAAATGATGAGAGGCACTGAAAACGGCGACGTCTACAGCCACTTGCAGTCAGCACTGGTCAACAGAAAGCACCCAGTTCTTCCCCATGACAATGCATGTCACACAACCAGTACTTCAAAAGTTGAACAAATTGGGCTAAGTTTTGCCTCATCCACCACATTCACCTGACCTCTCAGCAACCAACTACTTCTTCAAGCATCTTGACAACTTTTTGCAGGGAGAACACTTACACAACCTGCAGGATGCAGAAAATGCTTTGCAAGAGTTCATCAAATCCCAAAGGATGGATTTTTATGCTACAGGAGTAAACAAACTTATTTCTTGTTGGCAAAACTGCATTGATTTTAATGGTTCCTATTCTGGTTAATAAAGATGTTTGAGCCTAGTTATAATAATTTAAAATTCAAGGTCAAAAATCACAAGTACTTTTTCACCAACCTAATATTTAGTACACACTACTCAGTTTTTAGATACTATCACCAACTCAGTGGACATGAATTTATGCAAACTCTGGGAGGCAGTGAAGGACAGGGGAGCCTGGTGTGCTGCAGTTCATGGGGTCAAAAAGTGAGACACGACTTAGCAACTGGACTAAACAACTCAGTTTTTAACTTGTTGGCTGTTTTGCATGTACATGCTCAATCACATAATCTACTTGTCAGTGGATGAGGTATACCTCATGTTATCTGAAACTGGTACAGATCCCTGAAAGATGAGTGTCGTCATGACTATGTAAAAACTGCGTGCTTATCTCAGAGCAGCAGCTGTTCTGTGGGGTCGAGATGAGGCATGTGTGGGAACCGCTGGAAGTGGTTGCAAGGTTTAACCATGTCTAGATTTCCAGTAATAGGTTAAACACTTAAAATGGGGAAATGTTCAACACTGCACTTGAGGATTTCATTTCAGGGTTCTATACATTAAAGTGTCCTCTGGGTAAGACCGCACTGGATCCTCACTATTGTGGAAGAGCAGGTATGATTTCTTTTGCAGGCAAGGAAAATGAACTGCTTAGAGGTCAGGGGGATTTGCTACACTCTTCAGCTGGAAAAATGGTAGAGCCAGAACCTAATTAAGCTGAGAATTCCAGTCAGTGCAAAGCGTGCTCAATTCTTGACTGCAGCTATCCAAATAAGCCATCTTTCGAAGAAAAAATAAGTACTGAGCACATCTTTGTAGTTTTAGAGAGGTTTGTTAAATTCTGTTAGCTTTTTCAACAATTTTCTGCCTATAACATGAACCCTATTGACTTACCTACACAGGATTTTTTCCACTAGGGTTTTATATTTATTTATTGAAAATAAGTTGAAGTATCTCAGAACACTTTAATAGTACCTCTGACTGTGCATACTGCTGTTACTGTAAACACTCAGCAAGAGATTAAGAAGTGTAGACTGGGGGTATGAAAATGGATTTCGATATTTTTGTTTGTTTTTGAGAGGAAGAGGAAGGGAGAACCCTGGTAGCGGGGCACTTTTGGAGCTTGAAGAGATAGGCCAGCTGCATTTGCAAGATAGCCACGCCCTGGAAACTGGACTCGGCGTGGAACAGATGTACCTGTCCCCTGGCTGGGGTGCTGAGAGGGGGCTGCGGCCAGCACCCAAGCAGAGCGAGTGAAGAACCAAGGGCAACACATTGTCCAGGTCTGCAGGCAAGCACTCGTCACTGTCCCACGGAGTCAGTGTGAGGAGTTGAAAAACCGAGCCCGAAGCTATCAAATTCACTGGACAGAATCTACTCTAGGAATCAGAATAAAATGTAGGGAACTTTTTAACATTCTTAAAAGGATATATGAAAATATGGCATCCTGAGAAGGAAGATAATAAGAAAAAACTAAAAGACAGGAACAGGAAGGTGATGGGTGGTAGGTTAGGTAAGTTCAAGAAAATTAAAAGTACAGTAACAAAAAACTGATGTGAGAAATGAATGGCAGAATGACACAAAATCAAGCCAGTCATGTGGAGATCAAGCTTGACAAGTTTTCCCAACAGAAACGAAAGAGATGATTGGGAGAGGCATTTGAGACAAAAAATATTTCTGAGAAATAAAATTATGAAAAAGATATATTCTAAAACAAACAAAACTTAGGTGGGAAGAGACACTGGATTCACTTTTGTTTCAGACAAAAGTTAATGTCAAACCTTTGTTTGATACAAAAGGTATAAGGAGAAATAAACACGGAAGCATCCACACAGAAAAATAAAACCTATAAGGGAACAAAAATAAGGTTGGCTGTAGTCTTCTGTGACTATGCCAGAAGACAACAGAATGGTATCAAATCTTTTCAAAGAAAGTGAAGAGAATTTTATGTCCAGTTGACTTTGCAGTGCCTCGCAGCCAAAAAAATAAATGTGCGTGCGTGTGCAGGCTCAATGGCTTCAATCGTGTCAGACTTTGCGACCCTATGGACTGTAGCCCACCAAGCTCCTCTGTCCATGGGATTCTCCAGGCAAGAATACTAGAGCGGGTTGCCATGCCCTCCTCCAGGGGATCTTCCTGACCCAGGGATCGAACCCGTGTCTCCTGCAGTGCAGGCTGATTCTTTACCCACCGAGTCCTCTGGGAAGACCCCCAACCCAAATAAATAAAGTTAATTTTGATATGATTCTTCTTTAGGTGGAAAATGTCTTCAAGGAATTTGTTTAAAAGAAAAGCATACAAGTGTGCTACTTTCAAGCCCTCTTCTATCTGGGAACGCTTGCCCAGCAAGCACCCCCAGCAGCCCTCCCGATGCATTCCTGCCCTTAAGTCTGTGCGGCTCGTCTGCACACTCCCGGGGCTTGGCAGGCATTGGCTGTCAGTGAACGCCAGAGGCACGAGCACATGGAGATGCAGCGTGGGATAAAGGGGCGCAGAGCTGTACCGCCCTTAATCCTTCACCTGGTTTCCTCATGAAACCTAGGACTCTCATTGGAAAGTAAGGTGGATAAAATGACAGGTTGAAATCTTGATTTTATTTCAAAATGATAATCCGAGGCATGGTTCTGACCACTTCTGAAGGGCTCGTGAATTAGAGAAACAGTTCTATGAAGGCTCCAGTCAGATCAAAATGATACCAATCAAACTTGTGATTGGCAGAGACAGCCTCTTTAATCATCAGGGATTTTAAAAGTCATCCACCCTGATTTCGGAGTATCATAAAAAGTAAAAATTACTTTTATTTTGTCATTTTTCCTTTGCAAATGTTTTTAGCAGCAAACAGGACTCGTTTTCCTTACTTCATTTTTATGATCATAGTAGTTATATGTCAATTTAAAATTAGAGAGGGAAAAAAACTAAAAGCCCTTCAGTGGCACTGCTCATCCGTAGGAGGCTCACATAATAGGTGGTAATTCATGTTCATGTTAGCAATTCTACAAATATCAATAAAATAAGGTTTGTAAATCGTAAATACAGCAGTAGCAGTTCACACGTTTGACACGCTTTTACACAAGGATTCAGTTGACAACAATAAATATAATTTCCCCTCTTCAAAACAAACAAAAAGGATTTATAAAGGAAAAAAAGGATTTTATCAGCCCACTATTTTTAGTGTGCTTTGAAATAATTAAAAAGCTTGAAATTGTATTCAATGAATACTGGCCCATAGTTACATTTTTTTTTTTTAAAAACCTGTCTTAAATACATACATCATGGCTTTCTATTGAAATCCTTAAATCTATAGGGATCTGTAGTAGGTAAGACTGTATTAAACATTTTTTTCCTCATTAACAATTTCATTAAGTTAAAAAAAATCTGACATTTCCCTTAAATGTTAAGTTGAAGCCTGATCTATGCTGCTGTGTCCTGTAAAATGAACCTAATTTTCAAAGTGAATAGGAACGCCTGAGTGGCCATTTAGAATGCGGCATTTTCATTCCCTCATGATTCCTGCTGGGTCCTCTTCGCTGAGGCTTTTCCCTGAGTCATATATTTACTGGAAAGGCTACCTAGAGGAGGGGAAAAAACAAAACCCAACATAAATGAAACAGGCCTCACTTCATCGTAAACGCTCTACAACTACTTCTTACGGTTACTATTTACAGAAACTTCATACTCGTCACTTGTTTTGAATCAAGTCATCTGGCTAGATATAAAAAGGTATAACAAAAGCCCCGTCATATTCTTTCTAAATGCAGATGAGCTGCTAGAGTGACGCTGTGACATGCACGCTCACCTCATACTGGTACAGAGACCAGGAGAACTTTTTAAAGCTCTGCTTTGCATCTGCAACCAAACAGAATAAACTCCAAGGAATTCTTTGGTCAGAAATAAATATCTTGTGTCATTACTCTGCAAACATGAAGCTGTGAGTGGTGACATGGTAGCCATAACTTACTGATTTAAAAGAAAAAAAAGGAAATTTATTGTATTTACAGCTGAAGGACAGAAATGAGGACTGCTAATTACATGCACACCACAGAACAGTTAAAAAATTTTTGTTCTGGAGTCAAAACAAGCAGTTCAATGAAACAAGAAAATTGACAAATTCTTAAGTGATCACTTACAAGAAAGTAGTATCTAACAAAGGATATACACACATTGATTATACACATTTCAAACCAATGGTGGAAAGTATAGATTGTTCAATAACTGGTATTGTGTCAAACAAGTAATTTTGGAAGGAAAGGGATAGGTAAGTTTCCTTCCTCACATCATACCTTTCCTCCTTACCTAATTTCAAATGAATTATAGAATTAAATATGAGAGAGTCCAAGTATAAGAAGTAGTGAATATTTTGGAGTGGGGAAAGAGTTTCCTAAGTATACCACATTATGCTTTACTTATTAAAAGGGCTTTCTATTCTTAGCACTAAAGAAATTACAAATCCGTAGAAAAAAGACAAACACTAATAGCTGGTGAAAGAAAAAGCAACATATGAAAGAGAAAAAAAAGTATGTAAGTAGATAAAAATTAATCAATATCAGTGGGTTATCAAAGAAATGCAATGTAAAACAAGGTATCAATTCTTAACCACTAACTGCTGAAGGAAGAGCAGAAGGACAGGTAGGTGTGCAGAAATTTTGCTAAAGGAATATTCATATAAACCATAGAAACCTTGTAAAGTATGCAAATAATGCAAATGTCCAGAACTTGTGATATGCCTAATTATAAACACAATAACATATTAGGTATGCAGATAAGGATAATTAATAACATGAAAAATGAAGGTTATAAATCCTCATGAATAATATTTTCATTAAAACTAAAAATTAATAAAAAAACGCATTTGAAAAACACCACTAATCAGATATGTATTGCCTCATTTTGCTTATCTGTAAAATGAAGACAATAATACCTATCCCCTTGGAGTTACTGTGAAGATTAAATAAATTAATATAGGTAAAACAACTGAACAGTACCTGGCACACAGAAAGTGCTCAATCAGTGCTAACTATTATCATTACATTGATGTAAAAAGATGAGAAGATTTTATCTCCAAAACTGAAATAACAGTTAATGCTTTAAAATGGAACAAGTATAAATGGCTTTTACTTTCAATTTGTCTAAACTATACTTTCTAAAATGTCCAAAGTCAACTTATTAAGTATGCAAACAAACTTATGCCCCCTCAAAAGCAAACTTTCCAAAGCAAGATATCCTGAGAGTCAACTCACAGTGAAAAATCAGTAATATGGCAGGAAGAATCGAAGCACTCTATGAGTATAAATACTATATTCATACCACAGAGTGTCTATTGGTCAAAAAAACCCATCTTTGACATTCTAAACTTCATGAAGTACTGAGGAAAGGCTTTTCACTTAAGGGACAAAAATTTATATCAGTACCTCATATTCTACATACAACCAGATAGAATACAGATCTAAATAAGAAAAAGTTTTAAAGCTATTAGGAAAAAAAATATAGATGGATATCTTTACAACTTCAGGTGAGGGAAAAATTTCTGAAAGACAAACCTAAATTCATGAATCATATATCCATGAAAAGGGAAAACCAATCATCTAATTATCTCAAAATTAAAAACTGAAGTGGTGCAAGACAAGATATACTGGAGGAAAACATTTAGAATGTATGTAATAATAAATACATGGTATTCATAGCCAGTAAGCATATAAAAAGGTGCTTAGCATCACAAGAGTTAAAAAAAAAATCCATTAGAACACCACAGTATTTTTTCATTCATCATATTTGTATGAATAAACACTGTTGATATAAGTGGCAACTGTTTCAGCCAATTAGGGGGTATCTGACAGTATTTAAGTTGAAAAGGCACATATGCACATATGAAAATGCTCTACGACACAACAAATTGATTTCCAGGTACTCAAATCCTATAGAATCTCTCAAATATGCTCAAGAAGACTCACACAAGAGTGTTCACCACAACACTGCTTATAACAGCAAAACACCAGACATAATCTAAATGCTCATGTACTAGGTGATGTTTACATAAAATATTCTGTATTCATACGATGCAATGCTGTAAAGAGAGACTAAATCCATATACAACATATATAAATTTCAAAATCATTGTTAGATATAAAAGGCAAGTTGTAAAACATTCATATTATACAGTGTGAGTCATTTAAATTTAAAAATTCACCAAGGACATGTATATTAAAGTATATACATGTTAAAGGATACATATTAAGAGTTTAAAAAAGAATGGGTACCTGAATTCTTATTAATAATAAATGACTGAAAAGAAAATATGAAAAAATAAGGCCAATTCTCTACTAGATGAGTAGTTGTTATATTATTTAGATCTTTAAAAAATTTTTTGCCCAAATGTTGAGAAACCATTCTAAGAATAATACTTAGTTTTATTACTTATCACTTAAACATGTAGTCCCCTGTATACATACATACATATATATATATATATACATATATATATATATATGGGTGTGTGTATCTATGTATATAAACATCTCAACATACCTGAAGAAGCTTCATGTAAAAAAATTCACACACAAAAAGATAAAACTATGGGACTTCCCTGGTTCAGTGGTTGGGACTCTGTGCTTCCGCTGCAGGGTCTGATCCCTTGGTTGGGAACTAAGAACTTGCATGCCGCACAGTTCGGTCAAGAAAAAAAGATAAAACTACTCTAAATAAAATATGAATTTTTATGTAATCTGGGGGAAGAACATGAAATTCTTAAAAATGTGTTAAGCATGACTTGAAACTACCATACAGTTGGCTAGAACAAACTATTAAAACAAATGTATCCATGGCAAAATAAATCATAAATGAGGTTGAAAGAATAATAAACTGGTGATGATGATGGATACTATAACGTATTTGACAAAGCATGAATAAATTTCTAAGTAGAAAGAACTAAAGACAAAAATGAATACTTAAAAATACCAAGATGTAACATGAAGAAATACAAATGAAAATGTGGAAAATTGTTAGCATTCAATGGTAAGAACAGAACTTCAAGCAGACTGGCAAAAAAGACTATCCTAAATGAAGCAAGGGTATGGGAAAATTGTGACTGATTCTCTGAAACTGTCCACAATCACAATGTGGCATTATTGGTATCACTCTCAAAATATGGTTACTTTTAAACCTATTATTCTCCTAAGTGGGAATTTATCCTGAGGAAATAACTAGACAAATATGCAAACTGACATTGCAGTGTTTTATATAGACAGTGGTCTTCAACCTTGGGTACATGGTATTAAGCTATTCCTGAATAGCTTAAGAGGACAAGTGGGTAGAGTTTTGAGAGAGTTGACCACAGGGCTTCAATTTTTATCTGAGTTCTTTTTGAGAAATGTCTTTGTCGCCCAGGCTTTAGGGTGGTTCTCAGGAATCATACCACTTTCTCTTTACCCTTTCACAAGACAGAAAGAGAGAGAGAGAGACACGTGTGTTATAACCATTCACCTCTTAATGTGGCACATTACCCTAAGTGAAAAAGAAAAAGTCTTGGGAGGCAGAGAAGCACACAAAATGCTGGGATCTGTAGCAACATGTGAATACATCTAATAAAAGCCCAAATTTTTAGCTTTCATAAAATTAACTGATAGCTGATAACCATCAGAATAAGTTCTGATGATACGATTTATGTGATTTTTTGGTGATTTGATTAAAAAGGAATGAAAACAACTGAGTGGCACTGTTGTATATCTTCCCTTCCCAGACTCCAAGACTTACTTCTATTCCTTGTAATTTGCTATTATAAAGACTAGTGAGGTTTCACAATGTTTATTTAGTATAAAACAAAAGATTAGGAAGACAAATGATTCACTGTTTCATTCATGCAGTAAGTAGTACTACTCTGAAGATAAATGAATGCATAGGATAAAAGTCTCATTTAATTAAATGAAAGTCATTTTCAGTAAGTAAACATAGGAAGCAATTTTTAATCAAAATTTGTAACATTGGTTTTGGTCAATTATATTCTTCTAATAACTATAAACATTTTAGAAGACATTTTTACACTTTGAGATTTAACAAAAAGCTGAAAAATTCAATTTATATGAACACTTTTGTGGCCAGTCAATAAAATGCTTGAAATATATATGACAAAAATATATCTTCTTAAGATAAAATTCCATGGAAGTGAAACAAAAGAATTTAAGGAGAAAAAAAAAGATGTAAAGTTTCTGCAATAATATTTATATTTCATTTGATACATTTAAAAAGACTGATTTAAAAGTTTTGTTTTTAAAATGCCAATATCTTCCAAAAAACCTCCAGAAATCACATGTTTTGCAACTATGACAAAAAACTAAGATGCCAACTTAAACACATACAAGGAGATATATGGGTGGTTCAACATTTTGGGAGCGAGTATGCAAGCAAAAAAGTTTTGAAGACATTGATATAGCAAATATTTGAAAAGAACTAGTTCCATTAATAAAGAATGGTTAAATACATAATGTATGTTCATATACTGGAATATCAAGAAGGGTATGAAAAACAATAATCTATATATTCACTGATGATAAGATCTTCCCATATGGTTTTCAAAAAGTGCTTCTATTATTTTAAATTTACTATCATAAAGACCACTGTGCTTTTGTTTTTTAATAAGTAAGCTTTAACATCCTGGTCAAGGAAAAAAGCATACATTACCATAAAGGAGAAAAGATATTCACCACTCTCTTAGAGCATCTCCAATATTTAAGATTTCAAACCCTTGGGTTAAAATGGAATAAACAAAGACACAGAGGTAGTTTCTTTTGAAAAGTAATTTTCTTTCCAAAAAACAGTAGAGGATTAAGAAATAGACAAATGCTAGTTTGAGATTCTCATACTGAACAGTTTGTGACTATGGTTCTTCAATCTCCACATACTCTTGTGTTAGAAATTTCTGTTATATATTTGTCCTAGAAGTTAGACAGTCAGAGCATAGTTGGAGACTTTCTGTTAACTACAGCAATAAGAGTAGTAATAATTTTATCAAGTGATGTGTGCCAGATACGGTGTTAAGGGCTTTACATATATGAAACTAATCCTTACAGCGCCCAATTTATGGACAAGGAAACTGAGGCAGAGAGGCTCACTAACTGGACAGAGGTAATGGAGCTAGTAAATGACTGGGTTGGATGTCAAACCAGAGTAAGTCTGACTTTAAAGCTCATGTTCTTGATCCCTCTCCCACTCTTCTTTACTCTGTCAAAATGAGTCCACCTCTCATCAATAAAACTTACTGAACATCGAAGGCACTGTTAGCTGTGTGTATGTGAGGGAGGGAGGAAACAAGAGCAAGGAAACTCGTGGGATTTTCCATCTACTGCTGTCTCATTTGAGAGTCAAGAACTGTATGTAGCTTAGTGGATGGAGGAAGTATCAGGAGAGGAAAGAGAACTTGGCTGATTATCAGATGTGGGTGGCTGCTTTACCCTCAGCAGCACAAGACAGATGGTGCTATTGCCAATTTTATAAACGGGACTGGAGCTCAGAGTAGCTCACCTCTTTCTTCTAAGGTCATTTCAGCTATTGCCAAAGAGCAGGAGCTGTACACACTAGCAGCTTCTCCTTAGGAAATCACCCACCCATCACAGATAAAGTCTGTGAAAAGGAACAGCTTCCTGGAAACTTAATCCTACTTAATGCTGAGACATTTCACATAACATACATAACTTGTGTAAATTTTTCATGGATAAATTTGACAGTATTAATAGTTGTCATTAACTTGAAGAGTTTATTAGAAAAGATAAGTTTTAACCTCCTATAAATTTTTTTTTTCTGGTAGAAAGCAAACTTTATTTATTGCAATAACTTTTTTTTCTGTAGTAAGCTTAAGTTATGGTTATTCAAAAGATTTATAAATATGTAAATCTTCACTCAGAAGATAATTTACTGAAATCCTAACCTACTGTCAATTGGTATTGTCATTTCTAGGTATATGTCTAACATCTGTCTTTTCCCCCACTTAAGAAGTTATATTAAAATTTTACTTTCAAGATGCATAAAATCTTTAGCAGAAGCAATGCTGACAGATGTCCTGCAGGACACCAAATGCCATCGGCGCCCACCAGCAGAGGCTCTCACAGCATGCAGGTACTGTTCTAAGTGCTTTTGCATAGATTTTTGCAACAGTCCTACAAGATAAGTATTATTATTATCCCATTTAACAGATGAGGAAACTGGAGCAATGGAGGATAAGATCACAAAGCTACAAATCACACTGTGCAATCTGACGGCAAAGCTGGTATTCATAAACATCTTATCTTTGACAAAACAAATCTCAACTAAGCAAGGACCAGTATTTTCTTAAGTAAAGTTTTCTGGAAATGCCTATTCAAGGCTGAAGCTTGTAAAGACAACAGTCTTTTGCCTTCTTTACATCTGGTAACTATGTGACCTTCAAACTCTCAGAGGATCTATGGGAAACAGCCCCACACACTGCAGTGGAGCCTGTCTCCCATCCACTCTCATCTGCTGAAGGAGCTTTCAGAGCAGCTTGTCAATCTCCTCATCCATGTTTCATGGCCACTCCCACTGTCAATCAAATCCTCTCAGAACAGACCCCATTCTCATTTCACTCCATTTCATTTTGAGGGTTTTCCCAGTAGAACTTTTCTTATTTTTAAGTCCATGCATTCCACTGAGAACAATTACAAAACCTTCCCAGCAAAGAGCTGCTCCTGCCTGTTCTTACAGAATCTCCTCTGTCTTCACCTTTCATGGATACCACGTCCCCCTTTTGGGTGAGGGCGGCAATTCTTCCAAGATTTCTGTTTCTCTTTGCGACATTCTACCTCTGTGATTGTAGAGAAATTTGATGCCATTTCGAATGGTTTTCCCAATCATTAAAAAAACACAACTGTAAAGTATTCACATATTATAAAAATAAAGGCCTATTTCTAAGTAGATCATTTTATATACTTGAGATAATTCATCTTGGTACTAACAGAAACAGAAGTACTTAAATAATTTAATAATTCAATTTATTTTCCTTGTTAACATTCGAAGTAGAGACAGCCAAATGCTCTTCACCTGGAGCTTCGTTAGCTTTCCCAGGGTGAGACCACTGCGCCCTGGCTTGTTGCAGCCTGGGCTGGTGACAGCAGGGAAGAGCTCTATCTGGGGAGGCTGCCAAGGTTCTGGGAGTGCTGTCTCTCAGAAACTGACACCTGATGGGACAGACAGCTTGGCCTCTTCATTCTCTATAACTAACACAGGCATCGCTCCAATCTACAAGCAAACACTGTTTGCACCTTAGCAATAACATACAACACGTAAAAGCTGACCACAAAATAGGCAGCTTGTTTTATATTATATATGAAACTGTCAGGTTTTATCAATGAAGCTTTAAAATGTCAAAAACTTTTCTCATCAACTATACAATTAAGTTAAAAAGAGTACACAAGCTCTATTTTTTAAACAATTTCCCTTCTTTAATCCTACTTTATTGAAAATTAGAGCGGAGAAGAGAAAGAGATATTAAACAAAACTAGTTAAGTGTCTAAAGGCCAGCTGTTTGCATCATGTTTTATAGTTTCATCCCCTTAAAAAAAAAAGATGAAAAAGTGATTCATTATATGTTACTTTGATTTTTCTTTTACCCCTCAAATTTCTCCCTTCTATTTCAGGATTAAAACTACTCTTGAAACACCAAGAAAGGCCTTCATAGCATCCTATTTTTCCCTCCCTTTCAGCATCTTTCCTTGGGCCTGGGGGGACTGGGTAGGGATGGGGGCCCTGACACGGAGCCATAGCTGAGGTCAGGTACCCTATAATTCTTCCAGCACTTCTCAGCACAACTTCCTACAAGCAGGTTTTTTGGCCCCCTATTTCAAAGAAATGACTCTTTTCAAAGTCACAGTGAGGGACTTCTGTGTTGCCAAATAAAATGCTGCATTCTCAGTCCTCGTTGAACAGACCTATCAGAAGCAATTTGCACAAAGCCAACTGCCACCTCTTTGAGACACTTTCTCCATTAAAGCTCCATTAAAAGATCAAACTCGCTGCTTCTCCATCCCTACTGCTAAACATTTTTTTCTGAGGGTGTGTGTCTGTCTCCTTGGTTTATTTTGCCTAAGCCTCTACATGCTTTTCTCTTTTCTATCTGCATGTATTTCCTAAGTGATTGCAGTCAGATCCAGGGCTTAACTACCATCAATTACATACTGATCATCCTCAAATTTTTATCTGTAGACTGGACTTCTGCTCTAAATGCCAGGCTCCTTCCTATATCTACTTGGCTATTCAACACCTCTACCACAATATCTAGCAGGTCTCTTAAAACTTATACATTTAAAGCTGAACTCTATTTCGCCCCATAATCTGTTCTTCCTATGGTTCCCCAGCACAGGAAATTCAAACTTCACTGTTCTAGCTGCTCAGAACAAAAAAATCACAGTGTCACCTCTGAGTCTCAAAATCTCATCATTTTCTGTCATGCCTTATCATCCAACTCATCAACGATCATGTCAGCGTGACCTTTAAAGTCTCCAGAACATGAGCAGGCCTCACTTCCTCCATCCCTTCCACCCATGTCCAAGCTGTCCTCATCTCTTCCCTAACTACAGAAGGAGCCTCCTTGTTGGGTTTTCACCCTTGCCTCCTCAGCAGCCATAGTGAACCTTTTAAGGCAATTCAGATGACACCATTCCTTTGCCTCCAAGAGCTGCCCATCTCACGTAAAGAAAAAAACCCATCCCTCCCACTGCTGAAGGGGCTGTGTGACCCACAGCCGTGTACCCTGACCTCACCCCCAGTCACCCTCTTCTCCCTCATCCGGCTTAGTGTCGCCACTCGTGTCGCCACTCGGGACAAAACTGTTTTCAGCTCTGTCCAAGTTCTTCTCGACTTGCTTCTTCCTTTCACTTTGATTCTTTGCTGAAATGTTACTTTATCAGAGGCTGCCTCCTTCCCAACATTCTCTTTTCCTTTTCCTTCTTTATTTTTCTTAACATCTATCGCCGCATGAAATATGTCTGTCTCTTTTCTGACAAGAAGGCAGAGTAAATGAGAGAAGGGGCTTTTATCTTCAGTATTTAGGCCCACACACCGCACTTGGAGGGGGTGGGTGGGCGGGAGGTGTGGCTTAATATTTGTTGAAGGAACCAGTAAGTGACACAGTTGAGAGAGAGTGTTCAGGCACACGATTACTTTCTTTCTTTGGTGGCAAATAATCTCCATGAGGAGAATATACTGCTGACAAGACAGTGGCAATTTCAAAGCAGAAACAAAAAGTGTAGAAGAGGAACAAATAATTAGAGACTATGGTTCCTATTCAAGGATGGTATAAGAATCACCTAGAACATTAAAAAAAAAATACAGGCCTAAGCCTAACCCTCGAAGAATCTGATCTAGGAAATGAAGGTAGGGGCAGGGCAAGTCTATTTTTAAAAGCTCCCCAAGTTATTCTGATATCCAATCTCTGTTAAAACCACTTATTTAAAGGAAGTGCCTCAAAAGGCATGTGGTACGCTATGCAGTAAATAAAATCACACACATTTGTTTTTTTAAAAACCCACATACCTGACTGGGGACTCAAAAATATAGATGTTTTTTGTTTCTTTTGGTCTTCATGTAAAAGCACTGCCTAAAAAACGAAATAGACTGGTTTACAAAGTCGAAAGGAACAGCATACGAGACAGTCTGAAAACTGTAACCAAATCCAAGGAGAGCTGAAATTAGGCATGTGGGTGGCAGAACTTTGCAAGTTAATCGACAAGCAAGACACACCTGCAGGACCCCGAAAGGCACTCCCGGCAGCTGGCGCACAGCAAGCTCACCGCACATGGCACCTCGGGCAGGGCAGAGGAGCCGCCGGACCTGCCCGGCCCCTCCCGAGCACCTGGCCCAGAGCTGCTCGCACTCACGGAGTGTTTTAGGGAGAGGCAAAGGCGGGAGGGTTTCCTGCTCCGGTCTGAGCTAGGTTTACCTGAACAAATGTGCCAGCTGGTCTCAAAGGGTTATGTGAAGAAGGGGATCCAAATACACAATCTGATTTAGACAGACCTGAGAAAGAAATGAGCACTTTTTGTTCCTACTTTAAATTGAAAACAGTGGCCCTGTTTCAAATTTTCACAGAAAGATTTTCTGTTGAGGTGACAGAAGCTCTACTCAAAATATTATGTGGACAAAATTCTAATGTATTAGAAGAAATGGGAAGGAAGAACATAATCTTTAGACAGAAGCTGATTATTTTTAATTGCTATTGGAGGAAATTCACCATACTTTAGCCCCACTCCTCTTTTACTTCTCTTTAGTGTGTGTGTGTCACTCAGTCGTGTCTGACTCTTTGCAACCCTATGGACTGTAGCCTGCTACGCTGTTCTGGAATTCTCCTGGCAAGAATACTGAAGTGAGATCCCTTCTCCAGGGGATCTTCTTGACCCAGGAATTGAACCAAGGTCTCCTGCATTGTAGGCAGATTCTCTACAGTCTGAGATAGCAGGGAAGCCCCTCCTCTCTTTGTTTTACATTATGACTACTTGATTTAATACAAAAACATGGCAGTCTGGAGGAACCAAGATTCTCGTATTTTCTGTACGCTTGATAATACCTCATCCCTGTCCCAGGACAGCCCCTGTCCCTCTTGATTGGCTGCTACCCTCTAGATGGCCAGGATTATGGCTCTATGTTTTAAAAATTTTGGTAGGATCTTAGTTCCCTGACCAGGGATTGAACCCAGGCCCATGGCAGTAAAAGTGCCAAATTCAAACCACTTGACCGCCAGGGAATTCCCTACTTTCACTATTTTGAGAGCTTCACTTATTTCGTTTACTCCACTTACTACTGGCAACTTAAAACTTGCTACTAGCTAGAGAGGTCCATCCAAGCTGGGGGAGTGCAGGGGCATCCCCGCACCACTTTGTTGTACCAAAGAGGAAGGCAATGCCCATGAACTTCCTGCTCTGAGTAAAAGCAGACAGTGAGCTGTTCCGAAGGGTAGCCTACAGAAGGAATTTTGATGAGACTGTATTACATCTTATCTATATATACTGTTTACAGTTTCCTCATCTGTAACTGAGGATATCAAAATAATACCACAGTTAACGGGGCTCTGGTGAAAAATAGATGAGTTTACCCACGTAAAGTACTTAAATACTGCCTGACCCACCGAAAGTGCTCAATGCCTGTTAGCTATTGCTTTTATTTTAATTTCTTTTAAACATTTTACCCTTATAATTATAAAACATCATTTTATTCTGCTATATGTCCCTTGTGAGGGCAATAAAAGTTTGAATTCCTTAGAAGTAGGACAAGCTGAAGCAGTATAAACATTTCATAAACATTTACATTCTATTTTAAAATTAATAATAAAACAATTTAAGAACTTACTTTTCATATAAAGCTTATTTAAAAAAATAAGGATGGCTGATCTAAAACTTTCCTATCTTAAAAAAAGAGATACTATATTGCTGATATGGTATCATAAAGTGGAAGAGAGGTATCAGTGTTCCAGGAATGACAAGGACTAGAGTGAGTATTTTAAGGAAACTTTCAGTGCTGACGTTTTTTATGCTGTCCATAAACACTTAACAGGGTCACTACTTTAATCAAAAACATTATTTCTCAGGGTTTCATTTTTATGATAAATTTCATCCACTTTCACAGGTTTGTTCTGAGAAAAAAAGTGAGAGTGTATAAACTGCCTTGTAAACTGTAACTTACCCTCCCCGCTCCAAGGTACCCTTACTTTTAATAGTCTGTTAAAAATATGCCCCAAATGGATGCTTCACCCATTTCATAGAAAAAGCAAATTAAGATCCGACAAATCACAAGGACAAGATCTATGGGTGACATTCAACTATGGACAGAAACTACATTTTCCCTCATTGTAAGAATAAGCATGCTCACTGAAGAAAATGATGAAATGCAAAGGTAATTCTCTGCAGGCAGAGGCACCGCTAACTGTGTCGCCCTTCTTCTACTCCCCCTTTTAGGCCTGTGAGCACATGTGTTTAAACAACAATAGAAGTGGCTCCTGCACACAAAGTATGGTGTCCTGAGATCACTTCAGCTAAGCCTACCCGTGGCTCTTCCATTTCAAAAGTGCACATACTGAGTTGGGAAAGCTCAAGTAAGTGGTAGCTTGTTTTCTGGTCAATTAGGTCAGCGCTAGTCCCTAACCTTTCCGGTACCAGGGACCATTTCATGGAAGACATTTTTTCCATGGACTGGGTGCTGGGGGCAGGTGGAGGGGGGCAGGGCGGTGGTAGTTGAGGAGGTGATGCAAGCCATGGGGAGTGATGGAGAGCAGCACATGAAGCTTCTCTTGCTCACCCACTGCTCACTTCCCACTGTGCAGCCTGGCTCCTAACAGGTCACAGACCAGGGCTGGTCCATGGCCTGGGGGGTGCTGGGGAACCCTGTCTTAACTTTTTAAGTACTGGGGATTACTAGGTCTTCAATTCATTGACAATCTTATCTGAAAAGTCAACCAAACTTATCAGAGTCAACCAGACTGATAAGCCTCTTAAAAAACCAGGAATAAGTGTTTAAAAACACATAGAGAATTAGAAGTAAAGGTGGGGGAGGTGGGTTTACCTTCTGAAAAACAAAATCTTATCCAGTAAATAGATCTGTACATATAACTAAAATAGTTAAGAACTCTAAAAAAGAGATTTCCCTTGAGATGTGAGTGCAAACATCAAGGCATGATGGGCATCCATACCTGAAGAGCCTTTAAACTGAGGGCATTCCTTTTTAATGTGCCCTTCTCTTCCACAGATAAAACAACGTTTTTCTCTTAAGTCTTTGTCCTCCGGTCTCTTCCACTTCTCCACTGGTGGCCTGAGGATTTTCTCTCTCCCTGGGTCAGCGGCTGCCCTCACTGGCTTGGCTTTCTGAGGTGTGCACTGTGTGGGTTTATCTTCTTTTGTTGACACCTCTCTCTCTGTGTACTTGTTTTGAATTTCTTTATCTTCTTTGCTTTTTTTGTCTTTGTTCTCAGGGTATCTTTGGTTCAGGGTATCTTCCTGATCTCGCCGTCGCCTCACTCTGTAGAAGATATAATACTAGTAGGAAAAATCTGAACAGAAACCTAACAAACTATTAAGACCCCTCCAGGTTTAGGAGACAACTAGATACAGAAGGCATCAGAGGGAAAAATAAGAATTTAAGTCCATCTTCTCTATTAACATATTTTTGACTGGGGGATTTCTGCAGAAACTATCATCTGTGGCATTAATACATCTCTGGTCAATAATGTGTTAAGAAACACCCTCAGAGCTTAAGGGTGTAGTTGTTCATTTTCACAATTACTCTAATGCTGTGAAACCAGTTTTTGCAATTAGTGGAACTTCTTAATTTAATACCTACTCTGGTACTGATGTAATAAAACTCAAATTACCTTTGGACTGATTTCTTAAAACTTTCTGGCCCACTAGCATTCTTTACTATCACTGGAAACTTGAGACATAAAACTTTAGGTTCACAATGGAACAATGGTTACAAGGAGCTTTGTGCTCTTAAACTGTCAAAATTATTTCTTCCTTGCCCTACAGGATCAGTGGCTACTATCTGAATAAACAATAAAGTAAGAAATAAGAGCCTTGAATTCCAGATGGTGATTTAAGTACCATGTTTTTATTTTTATTTATTTTTTTGCCTCCTATCCTCAATCACTCTTTCCAGAGTACCATGTTTTTAAATGAGAATATTATCGTCCACTTAAAAATACCACCACCACAAAACAAGAATATGTCCCAAGCAAGCAACCAAAAACATCTCCCTCTGCCCTCCTGAAAACATTATCAGAAGAAAGCATGATGATCAAATCAAGTAGGTTACCACAACACACAATAATTATTAAGAATTAAAATGCATACAAGTGAAGGGTCCTATAGTGCAGTACAGTATTACTGAATCTCAATTCTCACACAGTACACCCCAGTTATTGTACATCAAAAGTGTAACTGAGATCCTTAAAACCCCATTTTACTTTTCAATGACTGAAATGATTCTGGACTTCTCATTGCTGTAAAATGGAGGAATTTCAGTTTACTCTTCTGCTCTTCCAGCCTTGTTGGAAAGCGTAATAACCAAATGATCATGGGGTGATGAGGGACGTGCCCAAAATTAGGAAAAGGGACGAGGCCTGGAAGACTGTCTCCTGTACACTCAAGTTAATCCTAGCCATCTGACTTAAAGGCAGGTTTTAAATCACTTCATTTTCCTTGTAAAAAATCTCAAAGTTACCTGAGAACTTCTGGGTTTAATATGTTTATTCCCTGGTACAGGAGAATCTCATTTGAAAACTGGTGCAGTAAGAAAATAGAAACAAAACCACCCTTTTGAATGTTCACTTACTTTCTCCTCATAGGACAGTCCTTCATGAAGTGTCCGATTTTCCCACAAATGCGGCAACATCTATCATTTGGGGCCAGTTCTCCTTCAGTTAGCACATCTGGATCAAAAAAGTACTCCTAGCAGAATATAAATACATAAAAACCTAAACTACTAATAACAGATCCAAACACAACTACTAACCAGTATCAATCAGGGATCTTATATCTCAACATTGACAAATCATTATTTTTAATAATAATTATTATATTGTTTAAATAAAAAAATATAAAACCATTAAGAGGTGTAATTCAGGATAGGTTTACCTGAATTCATTTTGGTTCATTTCTTTTCACCGTGCAGAACACTTTAACCCTACCTTTTTCCCCAGCACAACTCTAAATAAGAGCATTACATATGCCTGTGAGTCAGCTTCCTAGGATCTGGGGAAAACTGAGGCCAGGTACAAAAACTTCATTTTCTCATAAAAACAAAAGGCTAAAACCTAAAAAGAAAGCAGCTCTGTGTTGCTGCTTTGCTGTGGCTTCTGAAGGAAGTATCAGAGGAAAGGAAAGACAGTGGCCTGGATTCTAGCCTCCTTACCACTGACATGAAGCTGGGTGCCAGTGAGGTGGCATCACCTGGGGCTTTGCATGACATGCAGTCTTGGGCCCCACCCCAGACCTCCTGAGTCAGAATCTGCATTTTAACAAAATCCCCAGGTGATCTGTTAGAACAAGTTTCAGAAGCAGGCTGTAGAAGACTGCCACAGCAATATCTAGCAAAAACTAGATGCAGAGATGTAATCAAATGCTGAACATGCTTACACACCTGATAACTTAAAGTTCATTTAAAAAGCCTTAATTAGGAAAATTAATGCAGGAGAAAAACCCCTTTATTTTTAACACACAACACTCTAGTTCCTAGCCCCTTCCCCTTTTTTCTCACTAAAATGAATTTTTATAATGTAATTTTGTTTTGCTTTTATTGAGTGTGGTTCCATAAAAACCTGAGTATCAGGTTATATGAGGACAGATTTTTAGCACAGGGAGCACTGTGTCTCTCCTAGCTTCATTAAGGTATTTATTATTCTTTGCAAGCAGACTGGAAAATTTAGATTTTCCTAAATCTAGGAAAATCCACCCAAAGTTCACTTCTGGCTATCTCTCCCCGTGCTGCTGACAAATGACTTCAAAATAGCTATGTTTATGAAAAGGCTTTAATTGTGGCTAGACTCACCAAACTTTGGAGTATTTAGGTTATTACTGAAGTAATGTATACAAATTAGGTGCTTAAAAGGCTTCTGGAACTAGTTTTTTGGTATTTCCAACAGACACTTACCATTTTTGAGGGGTAGTCCTTTGGAAATCCTTTGACTGGAATTCCAAATACTCTTCTCCCATTAATAAATGCTTTCATGATAAAATTTGTCACTTAGAAAAAAAGAGTAAAGTCTCAATTAAATGGATTAACAGGAAAAGAGAAGGCATTATTATTTATAAACAAAGCAAAACTTACTTTTCCTTGATAATCCGGCTCCAAGATTATGATTCAAATCAAATGGATCTAAGTAAAGAAAATTAATGAAAACAAAAAAAATATAAATAGGAAATACCACTATTTATACATTAAGTGAAGTCTATATAACAAAAAGAAAGTGTTACATACTTAAAAGTATTAAAATGAGTGCGTTTTTAATGAGCTTCAAGTCTATAATACAGCTAAGTACTATATATTTCTAAATGTATGAAAAGTTTTTCCCAAGAAGTATCCATCAAACATGAGGATATTGCTTTATATCTGAATTCTTAGAGTCCTTCATATTATGAGAAGGTGCTTCATTTTGGACAACAAAATACTATTTGGAAAAGACATGTTAGTCTGGTATCACCAAATCATACTAGTTTTAGAGGCATATAGAGGCCACAAATATATTTAAAACATTTTACCACTGAATGTTCCTGCTAATTAACAGCCTTACAAAAAATCATTTTGGAAAATAAATTTATTGGGACCTCCCTGTTGGTCCAGTGGTTATTAAGAATTTGCCTTCCAATGCAGGGGACTAAGATTAGATCCCTGGTTGGGGAAGTAAGATTCCACATTTTGCAGGGCAACTAAGCCTGTGTGCCACAACTGTCGAGCCCACACGCTGCAACTACTGAAGCCCTGGCGCCTGTGCTCCGCAATAAGAGAAGCCACCACAATGAGAAGGCCTTGCGCTCTCTGCAATTGGGAAGTGCCCTGCAGTCTCCGGAACTAGGAAAAGCCTGTGCATGGCAACAAGACCCATGCAGCCAAAAATAAATGAAAAAATAAATCTTAAAAGCAAAACAAACAAACAAACCAAACCAAACCAAAAACAAGCAAAGGGGAAACAAAACAGAACCTTTTTCGAGGCGCATCTAATACTTAGGAAAATGGAGGAGGTATACAGTACATGTAAGAGGAGTAAAGAAGTAAAAAGAGGCACCCTTCTGGTTGTCTTGTTATGCTTCTCATGTACAGTAACTGGGGTATACCATTTGGGATTTGGAGCCACTATGAGTTTACTGGAGAGAAGCGCCCTTCACTCAGTTTGACCCTATAGTAACACTTGCTGTAAGGTTGCCTTTCTAGAAGGTTTGGCCACGCTTTCCCCTGTTGACTTCTGTGTGTGCTGTGTGGAAGTATTTCTGGTGTTTGCTTGCTGTAGCAGAGATACTGCAGTATTAGTTACTGTACAAACACTGCAAACTACCACCACTGAAATTTCTCGATTCTAGAGTAACTAGTCAGAAGTCTTCCTTCTAAGACAGCCTACTACTAATGGCTCATTTATAAATAATGTAGAGTTAAAAGCAAAAGATAATGAGATTTCAAAAATTCAAAAACAAATTAATAATTGGCAGACCATAAGAATCGACTGTGATAATGGAAAGGTTTAAGACAAAGTTCTGTTTTTAGCTATGGGATACTAAAAAGTTACAACCATATCCATAATCCATGGTCATCTGAATTTAATTCTGTAAGTGGTCAACATATTTTAATAATGTAAATTAGCAGAAGTAATGACAATAGCACAACTTAAAGCAACACATTATTTAGGTGATTATAGTTAAAAAAATTATAGAAGACTAAAATCAACAAAATATTTCTTAAGCATTTTCAATTTCATTTTTAAGCATTTAAACTCCATTTTGTCTTTAAAATTAAAATCTCACAAATTGATCATTTACAGGTGGAATCTAAAAAATAAAACAAACAGATGAATATAACAAAACAGAACAGACTCACAGATATAGAGAACAAACTAGTGGCTGCCAGGAGGGAAAGGGAAGTGTGGAGGGGCGAGATGAGCTATGGGATTCAGAGACACAAACTACCATGTATAAAACAAATAAGCAACAAGAATATACTGTACAGCACAAGGGATACAGCCAATATTTTATAATAACTTTAAATGGAATATAATCTATAAAAACACTGAAAACTATTTTGTACACAGGAAACTAATATAACATTGTAAATCAACTATACAAATCACTACTGAGCAACCACTGAAAATAATTTGGTGTAGAGACAGAATAGAGGATCAAAGTAAAACCATTCAGTGTAAAAAGCAAGTCTCAGAATAATGACCACAAATATCTAAAAGAAAAAAGTGTATGTATATATATAAATTTATCTGGGTACATATAAATATATATAAAGTTAATACAAAAAAATCTACAAAGATAAAAATTAAAATCCCCCAAATTGGAAATAAACAATCAAATACAAACACAAATGGCCCATGAATCCTAGCATTCAGCATGGGCGAACTTAATGACAAATTTTTGAAGCTGGCTTATCTCTATAGCAACCTTATTCTCCAGAACTTGTTAAACAAAGATAAAGGACTTATTATGGTGAACAAAGATTTTTGGATTTGTAAGAAACCTCACATGAGGGCATCAGTCATTAAAAAAAAAGGAAAGAGATCAGTCTGCCTGACATGGACAATAACAGTGCAACTGCTAGGCGCATCCTGATCAGTGGCTCAGGGCGGCATGGGAAGAGCTCTGCAAGGACCAAGAATACCCTCATCAGTTCAATCTCTATATTCTATTCAGTTTTAAGTTCAATTTTATTAGTACCTTCAATAACAATGTATTTTGATGTCCACTGTTTCTTAAAAGTTGTAAGCAGACTTTTTCTCCTGATGCTAATTACATGTTCTTTAAAATCAAATTCCTCTGTGTAGAAACGAAGAAGTCCCAACCATAGCTGCCCAACAGATTCTGTATTTTTTCCATATTCTGGCCAATAGTTGGGCTAGAAATAGAAGGAACAAGAGATATCATGCTCTATAGTAAAGTGTTAATATCAATAGTCATTTGTATCTTAGGGAATAAATCTGGATTTATTTTAATTAACTAGAGTTTAAATATATACAAACAATTATAAAACTTTTCTATTTTAAAGTATCATTTACATGAGTTTATTAATCTCTACCCTATGACCCAGAGACAGAAAGTGCTCTGGGTTTTAAATGTCAAACCTCAGAATGCATGTTTGTGGAAGAATCTAGAAATAAATTTTAGAGCCTTGGTGACACCTAGTTATTATACCTCTGTAACTCAAGAATTTTTCTAAATTCTGTAGGAAATCACAGAGCAAATTATTTGTTCATTTGGAGTAAAGCTACTTAACCATTTTGATTATTAGTCAGTAAAGAAATCTTGGATACAGTTCCTAGAAACTCACCTGGCTTAAAAAATATTTTCAACTTCAAAGGAATCATCTGTATATGCTATTTTTTTTTTTACTATCACAATATAAATAAATATAACAACTGATAATATAATCGTTGACCATCTACACTACAGCACAGTATAGCTAACTTTCAGTCAAGGATGTAAAAAATCTTTACTATTAAAATACGTACCAGTTCATCTATTTGATCAAAAAAATAAATATTCCAGCCATCAACAAATATTTCAGGTTTCTTTTCACCTTTGTATATCTGAAATTAATTTTTAAACTATTAGTATGGATTACAAACTTAGTGCATTGATACAAAAACTTGTAGGAAAATAGTAAAAATTTTAACTACAGAACCACAGAATTTTAGAGAAGGAATAGGGCTCAAAAATCATCCAGCTCTACAGATGACAAATACAATTTCCTTTACTAATACCTCTTGAAGGACAGGAATAACTGGTGGATTCCTCTGCTGAAGAAAATATAGCACCATGAGCGTATATGCGTATGACGATAAGCTGCCTCTAGAAGCATCGCCAATATCGCACATCTGGGGGTAAGGAAAAGGAGGAACAAAGGGAAGATCACCAATGTCTTCTGCTACACTTGCAGCTATTCTATTGTCACTAAAAGTAAGGTGCTTCTAGACAGCACTAATATAAAAATCACACTTTTCAAATGCTAAAATATGTCAACAAAACCAAATAAGACCAACCAAAAAAAAAATCAAAAAGTAAAACAAACCCCAACAAAGTTGTGGAACTATCAGCCACAAGCAGTATTAGGTTATCATGTAAGATTAAGGTAACATTTAGTTTGTTCAGTAGGGCTTCTCAAATAGTTGGCTATGGTTCTTTAAAAATATAGGTGTATGTTTTCTTTTTTTTTAAAAATTAAAGTATAGTTGGCTTACAATAGTATATTAGTTTCACGTGTATAACACAGTAATGCAATTTATTTTTATAGATTATACTCCATTTAAAGTTATTATAAAACAGGGAACTGTCTGGTGGTCCAGTGTTTAGGACTTTCTGCTCTCACTGTGGAGGGCCCAGGTTCTATTCTCAGTCAGTAAGCTAAAATCCCAGAAGCTCTGCAGCATGGCCGAAAAGAAAAAGTTATTACAAAACAATGGCCACATTCTCTGTGCTGTACAACACGTCCTTGTTGCTAATTTACTTCACATGTAGTACTTTGTGTCTCTTAATCCCGTAACATCCCTGTCTCCCTCCACTGGTAACCACTGGTTTGTTTTCTACATGACTGGGTTTGTTTCTTACTTTTTCAACAAGGTTTAAAGATGTAAAGAAATTTCCTGAGGAAATCTCAGGAGGAAGCATACTTACCTTTGTAAATACTTTCATAGTATAGCACAAATATTTCACTCTGGGATCAATGGCTGAATAAGCAGATAAGAGTCTTGTGTTATGAAGGGCCTATTAAAAGGGAAATTATATAACCTTAAAAAAAAGTTTTAAGGTGAAATATTCTGAATAGGTTTACAGTGTAATTCATTTTTAAGATGAAGACATTTAGACTGAAACTAATATTTTTCCCCTACAGAGAAGCTTTACTAACTTACTAGATAAGAATTATAGGAGACATCTAATCTCAGACCTTAGTCTAAACATTCCTAGAAAATATGGGCTATAAAAATAATCAGTTCCCTTTAACTCAACCTAAGATCTGCATCCCTGCCTATTATTCATATTAAACGTCCTTAGGGGCCAGAGAGGTTCCAGAGAGCCTTGAAAACAAACCAGGTCTGAGACCAAAGACACACACACACACACACCAAAATTAAAGTTCAAGCCAAAAAAACCCGAAACAAAACAAACAAAAAAAACACACTTGCCACTCTGACCTCATTTTTAATGAATACTAATGTTAACTCAATTCTGTGTTATATCCCCAGTCTCAGAACACTGCCAGACACTTAGTAAGCACTAATAACTACTAACAGAATGAAGAGGATGAAATGAATGGCTTAATTTTAAAGACTGAATAAATTAAGAGATACTTCTTTCCCTTCATCTCCATAAAGAAAAAGTCTAAGGAAAATCTTACCAATGTGTTATACAAACTGATGTCCACTTCCAGACCGCTTCTCAAATGGAAGAACTTCACGATCGGCACCTTTGCTGTTGTAATGGGCAAGATGTTTCTCAGTCCTAGGTTGGGAAACAAGATAGTGTCATTAAACCCAGCAGCAGAGGGTAGAAGTTGCTCTCACGTTAATGTTCCAACACAGAATGAAGTAAACCTGGCTTTGGCTTGTCTCAGTGAGTCACTAAGACTAGTCAAAGAATCGCTGTTAACAAACATGATTCTTCTGGCAAAGTTTACATTTGTTAAACACATGATTATCTGCAGTACAAGAATCAACAAGGCAGCCACTGCGCTTCAGGAACACACTGGATCCTGTGTATGTGTGCAGAGCTGCCAGTCTGATACACTTCAGAACAGGACACTACTCCAGAGTCTGGACTATGTGCGCCCTCTAAGAAAAGAGTCAGTGCCAAGAGGAGAGGAGGATACTGCCTCAGCTGGGTTCTGAAAAGCTACAGGCAGAAAAAGGGCAGGCTGCGGGAACTTAGCAGGCAAGGAGAACTGCACAGGGAAGGGGAGCTGCCTGGAACAGAACGACAAGCTCGGGGAACTTCCATGGAATTGTGCAAGCGACAGAGTGGACTTGAGGGAAAGAAGTAACGAGTAACAGGAGAAGTGGCAAAAACTGAGAGCCCAAATATGGAACAAATATATCCTTGGAGGCAAAGATGCCAATGAACTGGCAAAATCTGGGAAAAATCACTGACCATTGGAGGTCCCCGGAAGAGAGACAGGATGACCATTATGAAAACTGACCTGGGCCTGAACTATAATGGTGGCATGATAATGCAGAGAAGCAGCAAGACATGTTTGAGAGCACCTCTAACTGGATGGGCTGGGGAAGAAGAAGTAGGGGAAAGGAAGGCTATAACAGAAAGAACATTCCCTTAACACCCAGATTCCTTTACAAACACTACCTCCTAAGACCATTCACCCTTACCCAAAAGATGACACAGACCCAGAGAAATGAACATGCTTAGCAATATGCAGTTGGTGAACTGTGGAGTGGGAGTTCAAATCTAGGTATGTCTGACTCTACTGAACCTAGACTGCTGCTGCTAAGTCGTTTCAGTCGTGTACGACTCTGTGTGATCCCATGGACTGCAGCCTACCAAGGCTCCTCCATCCATGGGATTTTCCAGGCAAGAGTACTGGAGTGGGGTGCCATTGCCTTCTCCGTGAACCTAGTCTGGGACAGGCTAATTACCACTTCATTCATTTCGGTGATTCCAAGGATGGCAACATCAATAACCAAGAGAGAGGATGTAGAAGGAAGAACAGCTAGTGGCGGTTGGAGCAGAAGGGAAGTGGAAGAGAGAAAGATCTGTTTGTTCTGGGTGCTGAGGTCCGAGTTCCTTTTGAGAGGGTTAAATGGTGGCATCTAGAAGGACAGATGACTAGTGATCTGGAATTTAGAAAAAAAAAGTATGCAGATGAGAGGAATTTCAGTAGAAAAGGTCTGCATGGGAGACAGAAGAAGTCTAACTAACTTACACTGATGGGGAGAAGGGGCAAGGAAGCTCCTACTTACTGAACACTCAGTAAGTCAGGCCTTGTACTGTAATATATTATTTTTCTTAATCTTAAATCCTATTATTGTTTTTTCTGCTTTACAGATGAGAAACTGAGTGCTTACGATGAAGGTGAGTGACTTTTTGGAATCACACAGCCAGCAAGCAAGGACCCAAGATTTAAAACTAGGGAGTCTGATTTTAGAAGCCACCATTAATTACTTTGCTATGGTGGCTTTAAATTAAGTATCTTTTCTTCCCCCATCTCCTTCCTAGATGGAGAAATTCTAGCATTTGACACTGTTATTATGACATTTATAAACCTGTCCTCTAGGATTTATTCACAGTACATCATTCTGGCTCCTATTTTACCTTTTCAATAGCTCCTTTTTCAGCGCCCTGAACTGCTACACTTATAAATTAAAGCTTGGTCCTCAACCTCTCTCATAATCCACAGAACTGTTTTATTCTTGGCCTCTTCCTTCAAGGTGTTCAATACAAACTGCTTCATTTTGTTCTTCAATCTTAACTGGCAACTCTATGTCCTAACTGCTTGCTGGACTGTTAACTCTTAGAGATTATAGTTTCATGGCAAACTATCACTCCACACTGCAAACATTCCCATTCCCATTTCTTAGTTCAGATATCAGTCTAAACCCATACTTCCTACTTGCAGGTTCTGAATCTAGGAAATCTCCCTTTGGAATCTCTTATATTCTTTTCCTTTTAGGATCACTGGCATCTGCTTAAGATCCTTCTGCCCTGTCCCTTAGACTGTATCTTCCCTAAGAGCATACCAGCTGCCTAAAAAGTTCTGCTTTTATTGGGTTTCTTCTCTCAAACACAGTTCACATTTTCCTACTAGTTCCCACTTGAAGCTCCTCTCAAAATGTATCAATCTTCTCATTGTCCTACAAAATCAATTACAGTGATTCTCATAGTCACATCCATGCATCTTTGGAATGACTTCTCACCTTATCCTTTTCAAATCATGTTCATCAATATCATGAGATCAGAACAAGCCCATCTCTTCCATAAACCTCTCCTACCCAACTCTTTCCCCAAATCTCTCTCTCCTCAGAAGGTATTTAATACTTACTGTAGGCTCTACCAGTCATTTAACAAATGAATACCACCACACACTGTTCATTCCCTGTGAGAGTATCTTACCTTTGAGATTCTGCAAGTTGTCAAAGGAAAGACCTGTAGACTTATTTTTCTATCCCACCTACATGCCCAACACAGGAGCACATAACAAGCACCCAATAAAATATGTGGGAAAACTGCTTTCTTAATCATCACTTTCTAGCTATTACTCAATTTTTGCTCCATGCAATCTGTATTACATTATAATCTGTTTATAAAAGTCATTTTTAGTCTAAAAATGACCTATTTTTAACATGGTTCATTCTTAGAAAGTATAGGTTTTTTAGGAGAAAGTGAAGTGATGTCTGCAGCTTAATCTCAAATGGTCCAGAAAAAAATTATGAGGAAGCAAGAAAGGATGATAAATCAAATGTGGTAAAATGTTAACAACTGGTGGATCCGAATGAAGGGCAGACAGAATTCTTTGTACAATTTTTGCTGATTTCCTTTACATTTGAAATTATTTCAAAATCAAAAGTCAAAACCTACCTCACTATGAAATACCTAATAGTCATGGCAATGTAGCAATCTAGTTTCTTTGCATAATCTTCAAAAACAAAAATAAAAGAGCATATCGTTTTGAGAGGTAAAATTCCCAAAATGCTTATTTCAATGACCATAAAAATTATATCAAAGCACATTAAAAAACATACTGATGCTCTAGGTTACTTTTCACTAGGAATAAAACAAAATTAAGATGTTCCCCCCTGTTGTTTAAAATCACATGGTATCCTCTTTAAACTCCTGGAAATCAAAAACGCAAATAAAAGGGGTATTCCAGGTGCATACTTTGTGTGTGCATGCCCATGCTGTGGATTTAAATCTGCTCTTGACTAAGATATAAGAAAGCGTTTTATGGATGGTTCATAGATTTTAAGTTTCATAAAGGCCAGGACCACATCTTATTCACTTTCATTTTTAACTCTTAGCACAGACGTTTGATGTACCACATTTTAAAAGACTCTCTCTGTTAACAGCATCCACAGCTACCTCTGACAAAGACAGGCAGAAGAGTATGTTCATGGCATTTCAGCTCTGTGTACAATTAAAGAACCTGTACATTTTGCAGCTATAAATACTTGTCTAGGGTCATGCACAACTTGCTGAACAGCTCCAAGTACAATCCATCACCCCAGTCCACAGCGCTTTCCACTATACTTCACATCATGGCCAGCAACCTTTACCTACACTTTGATTTTACACTCTGTTGATAAGGCAAAATGATTCCCCAAGTTTCCTGTGTGGAGAGTATACATTTGTCATGAAATAAAACCAAGGCAACAATATGCATACAAATTATAACCAATTCCTCAGTTTTTCATACTTAACCACACTGATTTTTTTCAGACACCAATGCTATAAATGTTATATGAGCCACTACACTATTTCAGTCATTTGTAAATTTTAAGTATGCAAAACACTAATAAAAAAGATGAGAATATTTTTTAGATAAAGCTTATAGAGGTACCTGAATGCTTTTTGAGGACTCTTGCCAATTCTTCAATAGTTCTTACACAGTCCAACCCCTGCAGCAAAAATGGCACAGATTGAATCAAAAACAGAAGACAGGTTCTTAACCCTGTTTTGGTTTCATTTCCTCCAGAAATAACAAAATTAAATTCAAATTGTTCTACATTCATTTTCCTTTTTTAGGTGAGCATTAATCCTTACACATAGGAATATCCTAAGGATATGGAAACCCTCATGCACCCTACTTACTAACTGCTATTAGAGGAGCAAGAAAGGCTGAAATCAGTGTCCCTGAAAAAGTCTCTGAACCACCGAGAACCTCCAATTTTTTTTCCTTTATGTGACAGAATTAATAAGAGAGAGCTTCTGTGGCCTGTCTTATTCATTCTGGGTAGGTCTTCAATAAGAGCTGATGAACTGCTGTGGGGAGTGATTAAGCTCAGATTATTTCTCCATAGGACTATTCGAACATATAACGCACAAAAAGTTATACAGCAAATACAAGTAACATTTCAAATATTTAAAAACATTTGGGCTGACCTTTTTAACATTAAGTCCTTTTGTTGGTCAGTTGGTTATATACTTCCCAGAATTTGGAATTTAATTTAGAAATGCCCTCACAACTAGTTTATTAATCATGTAAAAATTCAATCTCAATGATGTATAATCAGGTCATTCACATATTGGACCCAATTGTCCTTATCCACCTTATTCACCAAAGTCACGCCAGATAACTTGTGGCTATTTTCTCAAATCAGATGCATCCTCAAGGGATAAAACGCTGAAACTTAGAAAAGGCATAAGAAGATCCAGAGCAATAGCAGCACCACTCATTTGGATGTGCAGTATTTGGACTACTGTTGTAAATAAGAAAGGGGATGGATTTAGTGCTTCTTAAACTTTATACCTTTTCACAGTATTTTATATTTGACAAATACCATCAAGGTTGGCAAACCTTTTCTGCCTTGTGGGCCACATGGCCTGTTGCAAGGACTCAATCCTGGAGTTCGAGTGAAACCACATGTAGACCACACATAAACGAAAGGGTGTAGCTGAATGCCAAAAAACTGACATAAAAAACAAACAAACAGGCAGTAGGCCGTAGTTCACTGACTCCTGACATACACTGATCCAAGCTGAGGTGCACAACAATCTTCTGAGGCAAGGCAAATCTCATTTCTGTATTAGAGATAAGCAACCAAAGACGGACAAGTCTGTCTTGAATCCAGTTTAGCACCCTTTTATCCCTGTGCCATGGGCTTCCCTGGTGGCTCAGCTGGTAAAGAATCCGCCTGGTCGATCTCCAGGGAATATCCCCTGGAGAAGGTAAAGGCTACCCACTCCAGTATTCTGGCCTGGAGAATTCCCTGGAGTGTACAGTCCATGGGGTCGCAAAGGGTCAAGACACGACTGAGTGACTTTCACTTTCATCACTGTATCACACTGGCTGCCTGCTAAAACTTCAGAGAAGACCTTATGTGGGTATATTTATGCACCTGAGTCAGCCTAGTGCCTATGCCAAAGGGACACTGGAAATGCTAGTTTGGCTTTCTAGAATTCCCAGATGTCACTCTCATATCCAGTCTGTATTACAGGTTGGAAGCACAAGCCTTTCTACTCCTCACATTCACCTCTAAACTTCTAATGTATTTATTTGTCCAGACAGATTGTGCCAAATGGCATACTCCATATGACATACCCTGATAAATTCGGAAAATACCGTGCTGAATTGTGAATCAAGATCGTCAACACACACGCCACAGCAAATGCACGTTTTACGCGGTCACTGTACCTCAGCAGTTTCAAGTCCGTTAATTGTCATGCAGACATCAAGGTCACTCTGTTTGAACCCAAATCCATTTTTGGAGGAGCCAAACAAGCTCAATTTAGTTCCTGTTAGAGATATATGAAAAGTGACAACCAACCTGAGTACATTTAATTTTCTGACCAAAGCAACTCTCTTATGAATAAAAAATACTGCTATTAATTGTTCTAAAATAACCTCATAATTATTTTCTTTTATTAACTAGTCTTTTATTATAAATTACTTCCTCTCGAAATTTACTATAAATAAATACAAGCTATAAAAGACATGAAAGATTATCAAATGTACTTTATTCTTAGATGCAAGGACATTTCAAGGAAAATGTGGATCACCTAAGCACACTTAATAATGTAAGCTTACTACTTTCTAAATAAATTCACTTTTTAGAGGTCTGAACCTTGACTCTCAATAAATGAAGTTCACGTGTATCTGCTAAGTGAAATACTACTACACTGCAACTGTCTTCTCTGTTGTCAAAACTAGGACTGGACAGACCTAAAACCATCCTAGGAGTATCATAAAACAAAGAAGGCCTGTCCCCACCATCACTTGCAAGACTGCTTTCTTATGCTCAAAATTAATGTTCTTATAACACATGCACTCATTCTGAAGCAAAGCAACACTATCTTTCTTTTCTTAAAGCTAAACAATTATTTACCTGGAAACTCCTGCCTTATGAAATTTTCTAGGTTTTGTCGAATATGTTCACGTGCCTGATCTTCTAGAACAGTTGGAGAAAAATCCTCTGTTTAAGATAAACAGATACATTCAGAAACAAAGATTGTTCACATTCATATATATTTTCACATATTCCCCCCTAAGGAGAACTAATAGTTTTCTTTCATCACTTACACTCTCCAAAGAGATTTAAAGAACAAAACCCTGATTAAGAACAAGGGACTTATGACACAGACAGACATCTTAACATGCAGCAATGTGATGTGTCATAATCCTCTACTCTTAGCAGCTGCATGCCTCTCCATCAAATGGTTTTCCTTGTAGAACTTAAACCTCTGCACACCAACACTTCCCCAAACTGATGTCCTTAAAGATTATTGAAGTGAAGTGAAGTGAAGTGACTCAGTCATGTCTGACTCTTTGTGACCCGTGGACTGTAGCCCACCAGGCTCCTCCGTCCATGGGATTCTCCAGGCAAGAATACTGGAGTGGGTTGCCATTTCCTTCTCCGAAAAGGTTATTGATTAGCATTAATTAAAAAGTATTCTGAGCTCAAATTTTGGAAATGTTAGATAAAAGAGTTAGTAAATACGCTTTTTACCTAAACATTTCCAGGAGGCTTTATTGTGCTAATATGCCCTGAAAATCTCTAAGGGAGGGGGCAGGATATACAGTTATTCCCCCTTGACCTTTGGAATACTTCTTGTTACTAAATACTATTAATGGCAGGTACCTAGAAAAGCATTTCAAGGAACACCAGTCGGGAAATGATAGTACTCCAATCATAAGACTTAAAAGATTCTCCTTCCCTGTCTTTCTTTAACAAGTATTTACTGCATGTCCCAAATGGAACACGATACACAGAGTACTATGGATACAACAGACAATGCAAAAGACTTAGCCTGGATAATGTAGCTAATGGGTTAGTGAATCAGATTAACTCTTGAGAAAACATCAATTTAATATTTTGACAAATAAAAGGAAATGTTAATAACTTACTGTAACACTGAATGCAAACTTGATCTAAGATATTTGAAAATTTGGGAGTTAATGGAGGCAAAGGTTCCAGCTGGATTCTTTTGAAGTCTTCAGGACAGTCCTTCTTTAGATGACCCTCTCGTTTGCATAAACTGCAAACTACTGTAGGAGACTGCAGGAAGATGGCAAAGCAAAACAAGACTTAAATAAAGGAGCCTTGAATCTTTTTTCCAAAGTACACATTCTCCACCTCACATTCCAAAGGAATGAAAATATAGTGGCCTGGCCACTCCAAACACACTCAGGAGAAAAAGGCAGTTATTTTGACTACCAACAGCATTTCTTTTCTCCTCTGCAAATTCCCAAGAGATTAATGACAGCAGCGGACCTAGTGGCTGCACGGGAGTGACCCACTACTGAGACAGGTGGGAGCCCTGTTTGAGTACATGAAAATCCAAAGTACATGCATTATTAAAGCTCTTTCAAATCTCCTAGTTCCATGTATAGGAGTGGCACTGATTACCTTGCCTTTGGTGAAGGTGAGTTTACTAAATTCATAGAAGAAATCAGACTGGTCCACGGTTGAATTCTCCTCACATACACTTTCTTCTTTAAGGCTGATTTTATTAAGTTCCATTAGAAGATTTCCATCTACATGGTGTTTTCCACATTCTTTCAAGTCATCATACTTAGTAGATCCATCTAATTCCACATCCTCTTCAGACAGGGCATCCTCATCCCCTGACCCAGTGAAGGTGTTGTCTAATTCGTCTCCATTAGCAATGTCATCCTCGTCTTCCCTTCGGGAAATGGAGAGCCTTGGTTCTTCTTCCTCCTCCTCATCCTCCTCTTCCTCATCAGAGTGAAGGATTCCTGATATCTGGCTCTGTCTTGAAGGGGTAAAGTGGCTTACAGCATCTCCGAGTTCACTGGTACCTTCTATGCTTTTTTCATCAACATCAGCCTTGGCATATGAAGTAGGAAATTCATCATACTCTTTAGCTATAGGATTTCTGAAGCCTTCTAGATCCAAACTGGAATCTTTCTCCTTATTTCCTGGGCTGTCACAGGTGACAAGCGTGCCACACTTGTTACTACTTGAAGCTTGATCATCAGCAGTCAAAGGATGCTTGCCTTCCTTTCCACTTTTTTCTTTCTTATTTTTACTTCCTGTTTCTTGATGATGTACTTCAATGTTCTTAGGGGCACTAGAACTGACTTTTGCCTTAATACAGTCAGAGTTTTCCAGGTGGACACTGATGTGTGAGTTTTCCATTTTCTCTGCTGATGGGCTTTCAAAGTTTTTAGCAGTCTCTTTAAGAGTAAGTGGCTGTGCCTTGCAGGTGTTTGCAGTTGAACTGGCAGCACCAGAACCTTGAGCCAAAACTGAGTTTTTGAGTTTATCACCTTTCGCTTGTACCTCTGGATCACATTTTGCTATTTCTTTAGAACGTTCAGAAGTACAGCTGACAGTACTCGGAGGCTTTGGAAGGCCGGATTTCATAACTTTGTGTGGAAGAGCAAAATATTTATATGTTGTCCTTAAACAATGAAGTATATATTCAAACACAGGTTGATTATTTAGGGTCCTTGCCACATTTCTTTTTACAGAGTAGGGATCTGTAATAAAAAAAAAAAATCCACTGCTTCACACATTTCTATTTTATGTTTTAAAAACCAGCCTGCTACATAGATAAAGACGACAAATAGGTAACAGTACAACTTATCATTTATCTTATGTGCTTTTTTTAAAAAACTGGGGATGGGGAGTAAGAAGATACAGTTTTAAAAACAAAAAGAAATGCTTTCTTAAACATCTGCTCTATGAAGAGAACCCATTCTATTCAGAACCATTACCCCTTCCCTACTCTGTCCTGTGACTGTGGGGGTTAAAAAAAAGTCATCAGTGTGGCTCTCAGGCCCTCGGGAAGCGGGGTCTTCCCTCGGGCTCTGCTGAGTGCTCTGCCTCCCCACTCAGCCAGGCCCTGCCGTTTGTAGAGCTTACCTCCACTCTTCTGCCCTGGGAAGCCCCATCACTGAACTGGCTGGACTGAATTCAGGGGCGAGAGGGAGGCACCAGGAGGAGACACCACTTCTCTCAATCTTTTCTCCTCCCCTAGAACTCCAGCAGGTTAGGCAATTGGCCAGAAGAGCTGAGCCAGAGAAACTGCAGGGGAGGGTTTAAAAATGTGAGATCCCCATGACTGCACACAGAATTTATGCAAAATGCAAAAAAACCCTCTTATGCAATATAAGGCTTGAAAAAAATCAAGCAAAAATAAGAGAATTCCATTTAGGAGGTTCTTTAAATTATTTGAAGGAGGAGAATTAAGATTTCTATAGAGGGGTTTCCATCTCCTGACTTTGTAAAGCTGATAGGAGCTCGTCCATTTAGAGGCGTCTACAGGGCACACCAGTATGTTTCTCATATAATGGTTTCAGCTGAATACGACTTAACTCATTTAAGAGCTAAGTGTTTTTAAAGAGAAAAGGTGTTTTATGAATAAGTTCTAAATATTACTGCAGGTATTCCAAAAATAAACTCTCCATGAGAGTTCCATGAGAGAGAAATTTAATGAAGAATGCTGTTTCTCATGAGAAAAGGTATTTTCCTCAACCTCTGTAAAACTAAACATCAGTAACAATTCATGAAAGGACTGAATCTAAAGATCCAGAAATGAGAAGAGCGAAGAGGAAAGGGGGATTTACATGTCACTTGGAAAAGACTTTTTAAGCATTTAAAGTTATTGAGCAATTTACAAAGAAAATAAGGACACAGACAGCTATGCCTTTTAGTTGCATAAGTAATTAAAATTTTTTATCACAGCACTTAAAAAACTCAGGATGAACAATTTGGTCCCTTGGAAAGATCTACTGTAACACATGCAAGATTCTCGCTATCTACTTCACCTTTGGGGTCAGGCCTGCCTTACATGTTGAAGCTGAAAAAAGACTGAAATAAAAAGCATGCTGTTAGACTGATACCTTAAAAAAAGAGGGGGTAGGGTTGGGACTTAAAGATAAATATTTTGAGATACCTTCAATGGCAATGCGTTTTTTGGGCCAATCCTTTGATTCACGAGATATCGATTCTTTGACACGGATACTTATCACTAAATCAGCCAAATTAAATTCTAGAGCATAGAATCGGAGCAATTCCACCCAGAGCTGCCCAACTGGTACTGAAGGCTGCTGTTTTGAATCAAATATTAATGATACCTATTAACAGCAAAGAGAAAATATACAGGTTATTTCAGATGGCAGTACAATCTGAAAAATTAGAGATCTTCAAGCATCAGATTAAATCTGAAAAACCTTAGCAAAGATATGAATCAGCAGTCTATCTTGATAAATCACAGTCTAGGTTCTATTTTGATTGTGAGAAAACAGCATTCCTTCAGTGAATTCCGGGATTAAAGTTACGTGAAAACCTAGTCAGTATCATAGGAATAGACAGGCAGCACACAGGCAAGCGGCATTTCTAAACCTGACGTCTTAAGGGCAGGTGGAGAGGACTGTGATGCCCTGCTACTACTCTCAGCACTGAGTTCTCCCTGGTCCTGCCGCTGGAGGGCGCCTTTACGCCATTAGACACAAGTGGACTGCAGCTGTGAGCATAGAGTAAAGGAAAAATGCTCCTCTCACGTGCTCTGAGAAGTTACATTAAGTTCTTTGGTTCTTCCAGCAGCAACTGATTTTAAAGTCGAATAAATAACCCTTGATATCAGAAATACAAGTTTTCCACTCACAGACTCATGATAAGATGTGACATACTGTGATATAATACAGTGGAAAGTTCAAAGGACTTAGAAAAAAAGAGGGTCCAAATACTGCCTTTGTCACTTCACAGGTTTTGACTGCTTCGTGACTTAGCTTCTTCATTCTTGGACTGGCAGTATAGCTCAGAAGCGAAGAGAACTGGCTTTCGAATGGGACATGCTAAGCTTTCAAATCCAGCTCTTCCATTTACTAGCTGTGTCTGATCCTGGTGAAGGTATATAAGCTGTCTAAGCCTCAGTTTCCTCATCTGAACAATGGGGATCATAGTACCCACCTCATAGGGCTGTTGGGAGGACTGAGTGAGAGAGAGTCTGTTAAGAGCTTAGCACAGTGCCTGGCACACATGTTCAAAAAATGGTCGCTATCATTATCTGCAGAGTAGGGATGATACCACCTATAACACAGGATAGTTATGAGGATTAAATCAGAAACAAGGGAAAGCATCTGGCAGACTGGTTACTGTCTGTATTTTTTTCATTTAGGTATAGTCTTTTTAAATACAAGAAATCCATATATCATTGAAACCATGTCACAACTGTAAGATGCTCTTAAGAGGTAATTTAGTTCAACTCCCATATGCTATAAGAGAAGGAACTGAAAACCAAAGAGTTTATGTGGCCTGCATGGCAGAAGAACGTCTCCTGATCCCAGGCCAGTGCTCTTTCACCAGACTATGCAATGTCAACACTGTCCAGACCTCACTTAATTTTAGAAGTGGCAGCATGATTAATCTCTCCAATTAGCATTCAAATGCAAAGATAAAAGTATTTAACTGGTCTTTCAGCAGTAGCCTTTCCTTCCAGGGTATACAAATTTGCTTCCAATTGTACTTTATTATATCAAGCTTCAAAATAAGTGGTATGGTCACAGATTTATTCAGTAAATCTCAACACAAACATTCTGTGAAATAAGATAAAGTTATCAGGTGGATTTACAAACCAAACCTGATTAAAAATGTAGTTGTTTTGGTCCCACAAACAACAGTTGAGGACACAGAGAAAACTCCAGAAATGGAAGGTTCCATTAGATCTCACTTCTTTATCCATATATTCAACATCTCACTGAAATGACTTCACAATATAACATGGAACTTAAGAGACCTCTGACATACGTAGACTAGCAGTACTTACATTGTTATTATTTTTTTAAAACATAGAGAACACTGTTTTTCAAATAAAGTAAGAGGAGTAGCTAGCATTTACTGAGTGCTTACCATATGCTCGGCACTGAGTTAAGCAGTCTATAAATCAATGACCCTATGAGTAGGTACCAATATCATCTCCGTTTACAGGTGAGGAAACTGGGGCACAGAAAGATTAAGTCACCTGCCCAAAGACACACAGCTAGAAGTGGGTGAGCTGGGATACAAATTCAAATATTCTGGCTCCATAGTCTGTGCTCTTAGCCACCACTGGAACCCCAAATAGACAAATGACACAAGTGGTGTGTTCTGGTGGCAGCTCAGGTAGGGTGCCACCACCATTCTCTTCCCCTCAACAAAACCAAGAATATGTGATTCACCAATATCTCCCCATTTTAGGCCAGAGTAAACAAGGACTACAGGAGTGACATCACCTGTTTGTGAAGAGCTGGGATCAGAATCCCAGTCTCAGAGGTATTTTGTGGATATTACTGTCATTTTACCCCAAAGGGATATGAGAAATCTCATGGAGTCAAGGACTGTTTATCAATTTGGGTTAGAATCCTACTGTTATATTGCTTAGATTTTTGTTTGAAATTCTAATGGCAGCTCATTTCTTGTGCATAAATTCTCCTTCTCAATACTAACGGTATGAATAAGGACAAGTATACTACCATAGGCTTATTCAATGTTATTTTAGCAATATGAGGTTAGTTAACTTTTCTTATATTTAAACCCCATAATACCACTTAAGACCTAAGCTCTTGGAGGATAGATAGGAACTTATTTTTGAATTCTCAGCGTCTTTCACAGCACCTTACACAGAGAAGAAACCATGTAACTGTGGATTCAATGATTTGAATTTTACCTTTTATTCCTTGTCTATTCAAAACTGAACAGACTAGAAATTAAACAGTTATGAAATAGTTAAAGATAGTTGAGGAAAGAAGAGAGGAAGACTAACTCATAAACTCCACAATTAACAACTGAATTAAAAATAAATTATAAGACCAGGCATGAGAGAGAACAGACCTGTCCCCTTTTAATGGCCATTTCCTTTGGTGCCTCCTCTTTTGTTGAGTCCACATCCCCTGCAACATTATCAGTGTATTCCCAGACCACACAGTCTTTCTCAATTTCTTTAAGGTTGAAGTTTCCTAATTTGTTTAGTGAGAATCCTTCAATCTAGGAAAAATTAGACACACGTTGTAAGGCAGAAACGATTTTAAAACAATCAGAGCATATTAATCCTGGAAGAAATGAAAAGTAACAAAGTTCACTGAAAATATGAAAGGCATCTTTTATCAAAAGATTATCTTTGAGACATCTGTAAACTTAAAGAGAAAAAAATCAAGGTTTTGATTTGCAAAAGAAATGGTGATTTTTGGAAATAGTGAAGTGAAAGTCGCTCAATCATGTCCAACTCTTTGTGACCCCATGGACTATACAGTCCATGGAATTCTCTAGGCCAGAACACCAGAGTGGGTAGCATTTCCCTTCTCCAGGGGATCTTCCCAACCCAGGTCTCCGGCATTGCAGGCGGATTCTTTACCAGCTGAGCCACAAGGGAAGCCCTTTTGGAAATAATTTCTTTATAGACAGTCTAACAGACCATGGCCTAGGCCTAAGGCCATGGTTCTGGTGCAAAACCACGTAGGCCCAAATCTCACTCTCTTCGGCACTAGCTGTGAGACCTTCAGTAAGATCCTTGTTTTCTTCAGGTCTCAGGTTCTTGTAAAAAGGGGTAACACTAGCATCTCCTTAATGGGATAGTTATGGAAAAAATAATGGACATAAAGCATTCAGATATAGGGCATGGCATATAGTAAGCGCTCAATAAACAAAGTGTTTCTTTGGACATGGTTAGGATGTTAAAGAAAAGCATAGGCTCAAAAGGTCTAAGAAATGTGGAACAAACTTGAACAGATTTCTTTACTGTAGGTATAGTGGGATTTTTCACAGCCTTTAAACATGCTAACATACATAATGAATTGTGGGCTAGGGTATGACTGTGGTAGCTTGATTCTCCAATGTATTTTCACATTAAATGGACAACTTCTGTGGCCTACCTGACAGAGCAATCCTAAACCATAAGACATCATGCTGCTCCCCTGCTCATCAGTTTCCTTCTAACGCAGGATGAAATGTGGTCTTTTCTAGGGCCTAGGTGGGGCTTCCCAGGTGGCTCAGTAGTAAAAAAAAAAAAAAAAAAAAGAGTTCATCTGAAATGTAGATGTGCGTTCAATTCCTGGGCTGGGAAGATCCCTGGGGGGAGGAAATGGCAACCCACTCCAGCATTCTTGCCTAGGAAATCCCAGACTGTAGAGCCTATAACCCTTAGTAATTGTTCTGCAATTCTTAGATATTCTGTTCCATTTCTTATTCATTATTTTCTTCCTCCTTGCTTTTCAGTTTAAGAAGTTTCTACTGAGTAAAGCTTACTGATTTTTTTCCCTTTAGAGTCCTAAGCATATTAAGTCATATTGTTAAAATTCCTGGTAAGATAATTCCAATGCGCGCTGTTTCTTCAAACTATGACTTTGCCTTTTAGTATGCCTTATAATTTTTTTGTTGAAAGCTAGGTAAAACCCTGTGGTGTGGGTTTTTTTCCCTTTATCTGCCTGGAGTCAGGCAATGTACTGTTTGTTGTAGCTGTAGATGTCAGCGGGCTGTTAACTTCTGTTGGTATCCTTGTTTTTGTCTCTTCGACTGTTTTTGGGTTTCCCAAGAGACTTCTTAAATGAAATCTTTCTACTGTAACTCCATTATTACACAGGAGGCTGAATGATGCTGTAGTAAGCTGTGGAGAGAAGCGAGACATCCTATAGTCTTATAAGGTCTCAGTCTTTTAGTGAGACTGTGATCCTGGGCTGTAACCTTCGTGTTTCTCAATCCTGCCAATCTAAGGTGAGACAGGGAACAATAGAACGTTGGAGTCGGCTATTTTTCCTTGCCCCAGGTCAGTCAGGCCCTCAAAAAAACTCAAGGTGGTTCAGTTCAGTTGCTTAGTCGTGTCCGACTCTTTGCGACCCCATGGACTGCAGCACATCAGGCTTCCCTATTCATCACTAACTCCCAGAACTTGCTCAAACGCATGTTCATTGAGTCGGTAATGCCATCCAACCATCTCATCCTCTGACATCCCCTTCTCCTCCCACCTTCAATCTTTTCCAGCATCAGGGTCTTTTCCAGTGAGTTAGTTCTTCATATCAGGTGGCCAAAGTATTGGAGTTTCAGTTTCAGCATCAGTCCTTCCACTGAATATTCAGGAGTGATTTCCTTGAGGATCTCCTTGCAGTCCAAGGAACTCTCAAGAGTCTTCTCCAACACCACAGTTCAAAGCATTAAATCGGCGGTGCTCAGCTTTCTTTATAGTCCAACTCTCACATCCATACATGACTAGTGGAAAAACCACAGCTTTGACTAGATGGATCTTTGTCGGCAAAGTAATGTCTCTGCTTTTTAATATGCTATCTAGGTTGGTCATAGCTTTTTTTCCAAGGAGCAAGTGTCTTTTAATTTCATGGCTGCGGTCACTATCGGTAGTGATTTTGCAGCCCTCCAAAACAGTCTCTTACTGTTTCGTTTCCCCATCTATTTGCCATGAAGTGATGGGACCGGATGCCATGATCTTAGTTTTCTGAATGTTGAGCTTTAAACCAACTTTTTCACTCTCCTCTTTCACTTTCATCAAGAGGCTCTTTAGTTCTTTGCTTTCTGCCATAAGGGTGGTGTCATCTGCATATCTGAGGTAATTGATATTTCTCCCAGCAATCTTGATTCCACTTTGTGCTTCATCCAGTCTGGCATTTCACATGATATACTCTGCATCTAAGTTAAATAAGTAGGGTGACAATATACATCTTTGATGTATTCCTTTCCCAATTTGGAACCAGTCCATTGTTCCATATCTGGTTCTAACTGTTGTTTCTTGACCTGCAACAGATTTCTCAGGAGGCAGGTAAGGTGGTCTGGCTTTTCCAATCTCTTTAAGAATTTTCCAGTTTGTTGTGATCCACACAAAGGCTCTGGCATAGTCAATAAAGTAGTAGATGTTTTTCTGGAACTCTCTTGTTGTTTTGATGATCCAACAGATGTTGGCCAATTTGATCTCTGGTTCCTCTGCCTTTTCTAAATCCAGCTTGAACATACAGACATTCACAGTTCACATACTGTTTAAGCCTGGCTTAGAGAATTTTGAGCATTACTTTGTTAGCGTGTGAGATGAGTGCAATTGTGGGGTTGTTTGAACATTCTTTGGCATTGTCTTTCTTTGGGACTGGTATAAAAACTGATCTTTTCCAGTCCTATGACCACTGTTGAATTTCCCAAATTTGCTGGCATATTGAGTTCAGCACTTTAACAAGGAGGTTCAGTTCAGCTGCTCAGTCATGGCTGACTCTTTGTGACCCCATGGACCGCAGCATGCCAGGCCTCCCTGTCCATCACCAACTCCCGCAGTTTACCTAAACTCATGTCCATTGAGTTGGTGATGCCATCCAACCATCTCATCCTCTGTCGTCCCCTTCTCCTCCTGCCCTCAATCTTTCCCAGCATCAGGGTCTTTTCAAACGAGTCAGCTCTTTGCAACAGGTGGCCAAAGTACTGGAACTTCAGCTTCAACATCAGTCCTTCCAATGAATACCCAGGACTGATCTCCTTTAGGATGGACTGTTTTGATCTCCTTGCAGCCCAAGGGACTCTCAAAAGAGTCTTCTCTAACACCACAGTTCAAAAGCATCAATTCTTCAGCGATTAGCTTTCTTTATAGTCCAACTTGGCTCTGGTAAAACTGTTTCCCTTGAGGGCAGGCTTTTACTTCAGACAGCAGAATGTTCTACACAATGTCAAATTGACCACTTTTTTCCTGGATAGAGGATTTTTCTTGGATCTTTACCCTGAGGAACCTGGTGGGCATTTCTGGAGATAAAACTCATGAAATGAGCACCCTATGAATAGGCCCCCTGCTGTTTTTCACTTTCATGCTTATCCAAACTGAACTTCCAGAATCATGGTTTTCTTAGCCTGGTAGTGGTTCCAGTGGCAGGATTCTCTTCCTGGGTTTCTGCTCTGACAAGTTACATATCTGCCTGTCTTTCTAATTGGGGGCCAGTGGTTTTCTCCATGACCCCACTTCTGAAGGATCTAATGAGAGTTGATGATTTTCAGCATGCTCAGCTTTTTTCTTTTTGTGAGGATGGAGCGATGACTTCCAAGATCCTTATATGGTGCACTGAATTGGTCAACAGTCAGTCAGAGATGTGCTGAGTTGCCAGAAAGAATTAAGGGTTCCACTTCTCTGAATTTCCTTCTTTGTTTTTTTTTCCCCTTATTATTTGGTGGCCCTAGTTCCTCTGCCCAGAAAGAGGAGTGGCTTTTCTACTAGTAAAGCCACTGAAAAACAGGAACTCACTCTGTGTTGGGTCACTTGCTCAATTTTTGGCTTCTCTCTAAAGTCTGTCTGAGTTTGTTCAGTCCCCAGAGCCTTCAGGTTGTTATTTTATGTGTTTTGTTGAGAATTTACAGCTGTTATTTCCAGAAGGATCACTTGTTTACGAGTTCAAGCTTCCATACCGTAGGTGGAACTTGATTTTCTATTGAAGGGGAAACGGACTACATCTGTTCTCCTGCCTTGTTCTAGGAGTTATACATTCATGATCTCATTTCAAAATTTCTCAGATGAGTCTTTCCCCAAAGCTCAGAGATTAAACAACTTGCTCAAGGTTACAAGGATTTTAGTGGCAAATCCTGGGTGACTCTCAGGGCTGCCAAACTTTTAATACTTGACACTACTCTTCTTTATACTGTATTATCTGGCATTCTTAAAGTGAAAATAATTGTTTCCTAAGGGTTAAGTTTATATAATCTAAAATAAAAATGATTCAAGAAAATATTTACTAGGAGACTAGTAAAATATTGTTGTAGGGGATAAAAGAGGCTAAGAAGACAGGATTACATCTATTCATCATTCATAACTCACATATCAGTATCAAATGATAATAAAACAAAAATTTTAATTGGGAGTAAAAGGTCAGAGAGAGTCTCCAACATAAAAGAGATCTAAGTAGGTTGGGAGAGAATGACCAAAAGATTTTTGAAAACACAGATCAGAACACAGAAATATGATAGTCTAAACTTTGACAAAGAATCTAATCTTACTCACCCATGTATTACTTTCAGGGCTTAGTATAATGACTAACATACAGAGTGATTTAAAGATTTTGAAGAAGTTAATGGTTTGGATACTTTCACACACATCATTTTGAGGTTTTCAATAATCTTCTACAGAAAACAGTGATATAACACATCTGGCACGAACCAGGCACTGAATTTCTTTTCTGTTACTTGCTGTATATTTTTTATTAATACTCTAGCAGAAACCAGCACACTGATACCTGACTAGTTTAAAAACGTGAAAACTACGATCACTTTGGGTCAGGCAGTAGTCTACCTTATTTGATATATACAGTTCAACCCAGTGTTTGACCACTATATACTTGTTTTTGTCATTAAAATTTTCAATAAATAAAAGGCATAATCAAAACCAAATTCTGTCATCTTAGAGAACTTCTAGTATCACTGCCAAGGAAATAATACACTTGGCTATAGACAAAGATATTTATGCTTCTCTTAAGCAAATCCCGAGGAGGCTCACATCACCAAAAGAGAAGTGCTTTTTTCCCTGCATCTTCACATCAGTGACAGATGCCCACTTCAGAGATGATGAAGACACAAGAAAAGGCAGATTTTACTAAGACAGCAGTGATATGGCAACACAGCCAACCTCTTCTCAGACATTTTTTTGGCCCAGGAGTCCAACTGGTTTGGTTGTATCTTACAGTCCTATCTCTCTTGGATCAAAGTGAAAAGAAAACTTCAAAGACTTTTTCAAAGACTTTCACATCGGACTTAGGTCTGATGAAAAGGGTTATTTGTCAACTAAGGGTTGACTTTGTTCTCTCACCCTTTTTTTTTTCACCAGGAGAACAGACTAGCAAGGATACCCTGAATTTTTTAATTTCAGTACCACAAGCACAAAGAGAACTCCCTTTAGGCAACTGGGTCACAGCACAGCAGACTGCAATTCCTAAAGCCAGGACAGTGTTTCTGCTTCAGCCTTTTTCATCTCAGGGCCTGCCTGATAAAGGTCCTTGCTTAATTCCCAACACATTTAGTATAAAGAAAAAATTCCCTAAAATCTTATATATATATATATATATCCATAGTTAAGAACTATGGCTCTGGAACATCTCCTCCTTAAATGATGAGAATCCTGCATATGGTAAGAAGACAAGTAGTTAAAATACTGGATGTATCACAGTAACTTTTACCAAGTGACGCTTTTTATAAAATAAGGATACACATAAGACTTTATCAAGGAATTTTACCTAGGGATTAAAAGTGAGGATTTCAAGAGAATGAAAATAACCTCATTTTGACTTTGAGATGGCTCCTTCTTAAATCTTACTATTTGAATAAATCAGCTCAACTTTAATTTATCCAGAAAGAAAGACTGGTCACCTTACTGAAGTCTTATTCATCTTAAAGATTACAGCAAAATATTATTTAAGAGGCGACGTCTAAGTTCTGCACCTTGTGGTATGAGCAGCGATCTCAGCACTTATATTTTCCTTTGTTTCACGGGGAAAAGGGTAGAAAGAGAACAAAAAGACCAGTGAAAGAAAGTGATAGTGAACTGAACGCTTCCTACAGTCTGTCTGGAGGTGATACATAAATTCAAAGTATCAAATTAAAAAACTGTACCCAAAGAAAGTGTGTAGCAAATGATAATGTAGGTTCATATTCTCTTGTCTTGCAAACCTCAAGATCATGTGCTCCATAAATTATGTTTCTTCGGTTTAGAAAAGTAACAGTCTCCCTAGCAGAGTATATGGCAGCATCTTGTAGCCAAATACATTAATATTTCAGCAATGAGAAGTATGAATTTTCATAATAATAGGATAAATAAATTCATGTCAGTTCTGGCTAGGTTTTTAGACTTTGAAACTATGCCCAAGGGATTGTGGCCCCATAATAAAATCAGTATCAGATATATAAGCAAAAAATGTTTTATACCCATGATCCTAGATAAACAGGCAGAAGGGGTTCTTTCCTCTGTTGAAGAAAGAAAACGGCCATCAGAGCAAACACATAAGGTGGCAAACCTCCTTCTTCAGGGCGATCTATACTGCAAAGCTATAAATGAGAGAAAAGAGGATAAGCATTCTTTTGTACCAACTTGTCATTTACGCAATTTGGTCTAAAATCTGTTAATTCATTTCCATTTATCACGTGATTTAGTCTTCAAAATGAAACTCCATAATGACAAAAATACCCAACTTCCTTATACTTATGTTGTAAACACATATTGTGGTTTTCAGTGACAGTTTCCACTTCAAATTTTTCATTTTGAAAAAAAAAAAAAAAAATTTTTTTTTTTCATTCTGTTAACTAAACTCACTTGTGAAAGGCTCTAAAAATCTATTTATTTTTTGATATCCATGGTAAATCCATTCACTTGGTTCAAAAACTTGTTAATACAGTCAAAATAATGATTCAATCCCAAATGTAAGCCAATTGACTTTGCTCAGTTTAATGGCCCCCTCATGCTTAGCTGCTACCTGGAAAATGCATGCTTTGGTTAGAAACATAATTAGAGGAAAGAAAGCAGGCAAACCAATTAGCACTGGCAGAAAATAACAACTTAGTGATGAAGTAGGAAGCTGCTTTCAAAGCACAGCATATTGTGATTACCAATTCACTCAATTAAGAGTGGGGCATCCTCTGTCTCTGTTGCATCTTCGACTCAAGCAACAGAAATTATGTATTGTGACTGCCATGTCCTAATCCATAAAGCTTTTGGCTTTTTTCTATACAGAATCTCAAGTTTATAATCATCATGAGACCTTACATTTTGGAGGAATGTTAGATGCTCTCGTGTTCATCTGAGCATTTCATTAGGATACCATGTTTAAAATACTATAGAAATGTAAAGCAAGATCAGATAGTGGCTTTCATTTTCTGGGAGTCTTTGGGTATATTATTGGGGCTTCCCAGGTGGCTCAGTGGTAAAGAATCCACCTGCCAATACAGGAGATGCAGGTTCGATCCCTGGGTTGGGAAGATACCTGGGAGGGGGAAACGGCAACCCACTCCAGTATTCTTGTCAAAATTCCATGGACTGAGGAGCCTGGAGGGTTGCAGTCCATGGGGTCGCAAAGAGTCAACATGACTGACTAAGCATGGGTTTATTATTGGACGGTATAAGAGGCTTTATCTCAACTCTCCTGTATCTGAGACTCACTTCAGGAAACTAGTTAAAGTGTAAACTCATAGGCTATAACTCAGGTTTGACCTACAATCTAATTTTTAATAAGTATCATAAATCAGTGATCATTTGAACAATATGCTATAGTCAAACAGAAACAGTGAGTTTTTCTTTCTATATACATTAGAATTTCTAATACTCAGATGCCAATTCTCTTGATGTCTATAAATACGCATCCAAACATTTAAGATTATATGAATCATGTAAAAATCAAAGTGTACTGCTTATGCACATGTAGAATGTATTCATTCATTTAAAGAACTCAAACCTACCTTTGCCCAGTATCTAAATGCAATCACCAGAGGAACCAGCTTTGATTCTAGTTTTCCAAGGGCAGTTAAATGATTTGTTGTCAGACAAGCATTTTCATTGCCTGCACTCACTTTACAAAGAAGACCACTGGTCGGGGGTAGAGGGCGACAATGTGAAGGAAAAAGAGAAAGATAAAGTGTTATACAGATATCAGGTTTCTTTTACACCACCACCAACTAATTTACACTGATAATAAACACCTTAAAAATGAAAATAAAAAACTTATTAAACCTTTATGGGTCATTTAAATAACTGGCTTAAAAAAAAGATAGGGCAGCTATTTTCTGGGTAAACTTTAAGAGCTAAAACTGTCACGTTTTCTTATATTAAAAGTTTTTTAGGGGAAAATGCAAAGAAGAAGTGTAAAATGTTTCAAATGGGAGTATGAATTCATCTTAGTAGGAGCAAAAGTGTTTTCCCTAGCTGGTGGAATCTGCTTGATGGTGAATCATTATAGCCTGCAAACCACCCATCTACAGGGGAATGGGAGTGTGTCCAGATGGAGAGAGAGAGCTGGGTGAAGTCATACCGACTGTTTTCAGTAGTTTAAATTGCTGCTAAAAAGAATGGCAAATAAAGGTGATCAGAGCAAGTAATTATTTGACAGTTTTTTTTTTTTTTCTTACTGAAATGGATAAAAATGCTTCCTTTCTATATTTTTTCCTTTAAGTAATTTTCTTCTTTTTAAAATAAAACACCTTTTCCTCTTGGGTTAAACACCAACAGTAGAGGGAGAGAGCTAATAGTAAGCTTATGAAATTAGCCACATAGGAGCTTGTAATTCTAGAAACTGGACATTAAGATGTAGTAAAGTACAAATGCTTTTGGCAAGCTGATACTTAATAAACAGCTTAAAAAAACAGACCTCTGCTTTTCTCTGCACACCACCACTGGCACTCGAGCATGGAAATCTGCATCAACATCAATAAAAGAGTCTGGAAAAAGAAAAGAATATGACACAGATTAGTTAATTAAGCCTTTGTTCAAAAGCACAATTAGATAAAGTACCAGTACCAGCTGCGCATCATCTGTTGGGTCTTTCAAAAGACCATTATGAAATAAAGCTCTTAAGAGATGATTATGAAATAAAAATGACTTGAAAAAGTATTACATTCAAGAATCAAGTAATCACATTAATTTAAAACCCTTATTTAAAAAAACACCCTTATTTTACAAAATTAATGTCTGATTAGAAATGGCTACATTATTGAACTAGAACATTTAAATATTAGGTCAGTAACATAATTATAAATATGGATAGGACAATAAAAAACAAAATTGCTGCAAAAGCTACTAAAACATGTGGGGTCAAAATACATACTGACTGAAGTAAAAAGAAAAGTTTAAACATTTCATTCAGTCAAAACAAAAAGGATGGGAAAGACTAATTCAGGGATGAGACAATTTAACCAGGCCTATGGAAAGCACACAAGCTGTCAAGTCCCAGCTGGACATTATCTGGACATATGATAACATACCTGGGAACAATTATTGGTTGATTCATTAATCTGAGTTGAGTCACACTATTATTCATAAAGTATCAGTTTGAGCCATGGAATACAGATGAACATCCTTTAGTTTCAACCTCAAGAGTAAATTTTACATATTTTGACTCGTATCAGTCTTAGGCTAGGGCCTGTATAATCTTTACAAATTGTGACATTATCACAAAGCAGAAAGCTTTACTTACAAAATGGTTATTCTGCATAGTAGAACAACTAACAAGACTCCAATTAACCTACTAATAATTCATGGGCATTTGCTTTAGTTTTTTGTTTGGCTATCACTCATATAAGTAAATCAAAAAACATGACTTCCTATTTTCAAAGCTTGAGAAATAAGATATATTCAAATTATAGACAAAAGAAAAATTTAACAACAAAATGTGGAAACAGTTTGGCCTTACCATTGTTCTTTAAACATTCTTGGACAAGTAAGAGAACATCTGGCTGAGACATCTAGGAAATAAATCAATGAATACATCAAATAATTTATAAGTATTTGGCTTCACTGAGATAATACACAATCATCTGAAGTTACTCAAATGCCTTTCCACACTAGAAAGCACTTTACTACCTGAGTAAAGGAACTAATCATTGTGCTACGTGCACACAGTCAGACACAGAGAGAGGAGCAGTGAAGAATGACGACTGTGGGCAAAAAGAGACTGACTACTCAGTTAACTCCTGATTCACCAATTCATGAGTTAATTAGCCTCTCAGCAAAATCTCTGAGTTGTGGCTAGAAGCTGTCAAACTGTTAATACTATACTATTATTCTGTGAGACTACTTCAACAGATTGCTTACTGGTGTCCACTTCTGTCTTGCCTTTCTCTAATCCCTGCTACACAGGGAACCAAAACCACTTAAAACCATGCATTCGATCACGTCCTGACCCTCCTTAAAACTCTCAGTCTGGCTACTTAATGCCCTTAGGTCCAAATGAAATTCCAGTTTCCTGTATTTTGGGATCCAGGCTACATCTCTATCCTAATCTTATGCTCCACTTTCTCTAGGTCCCTTCACAGCCCTAACAATTTTCCCTTTAGCTCCTTGAACAGGCCACGCTCAATGCTTGCAAATGATGTGCCTTCAAGCCAAAACACTCCTTCACTGTCTCCAACCATTTTCATCTTTTAGAGTTCAGCTTAAATGTTATCCATTCAAAGGGGCTTCAGGACTGCTTGTTTTCTGTCATAGAACCTTGTTTTTCTGAATTGCTCTTATTATAATTAATTATCTATATATAATTACTTATCTCCTTCACTAGGTATGAATTTCATGAAGAAGTAATCATATATTTTTTGTCCTCTAGAACCTAGTATAGTGCTTGGCACATCACACAGACTCGAAGAATGAATGACATGAAATCAAAATAACTGCCATGCTGGTAAAATATTAGAATTTAAGGTTAAAAGAAAAGTAAAATCTTGGTCAACTGACCAGGTTAGCTATAGCAACTGGGGATAGCAAGGAATGAGAGAGTGTGAAACAGAACATCTGGGGGAGGAGGTCAGAAATCTTTACTTCTATTTTTAAGCAGTAACCCAAGTAAATGGGCATAAACCACTTGCAAACTGGCCTGCAGGAACCACCAGTAAAGAAATGAATAACCTACTAAAGTGCCTTCCAGTTTTAAAGTTCTGACTCATCAACATCTTTCTGAACCATGTTTAAGCCAGAAATCTAGGCTAGGTGCAGTTCTTCAAAAGTGTAATTATTTTTACAAGGTGGGTGTATTTAAGAGGAAACTCAGGAACAAATGGAGCTTGCAGGTCTTAAATGTTTATATGTATGTATATTTGTGTATATATATATATACACACACACACACACACCATTTGAAATCTGAAATCCTTTGCTGCCACTGCAAAGCTGAATTGTCAAGATAATTTAATCTTTTCAAGTTAATAGAGCTAAGTAACGCCATCAGATTCACATGGTTAAAAAAACCAGTGTTTGAAGAAAGCATGAAAGATATGTAGAACAAGAAGAAATACTCTTTAAAACTGAAGGCATGCAGAACATTAAAAAAATTTTCAGGAAAAAATTATACTTTTAAAAACAAAGTAGTTTTAGGGAAAAAAAAATTACACTTAAACTGTCCTTAAACATCTAAAATATAACCACATATAGCTCACATTTAGAGAAAAAAAAATAGAACTTCCACACCACTCTGTGAAAATTCTAACATTTATTTTGTACTTACAATGGCTGGAAATTGAATGTCAATGTTTATATCCGAATTTTTGAAACCCAATCTGCTACAGGATGACCCATATAATCTCAGAGAGCAATCTAAAAAAAATTTTTTTAAATAAATAGAAGTCATTTATAAAGTAAAATTTCTCAAAAGTTTATGCAAGACACTGCTATTTCAAAAATGGAACCGTCAATTAAAACTACACACAAAAGAAAAACAGTGTTCAAGTCTGGCACAATGAAAGGACAAGAATGGGTGACTCCTGGCTCTTGCTTTCACTGTATTTTATTTAAAAGGGAAGACTGCATTGAATGTAGTTTACTTTAATAGCCACTCTTTTCATACCAGTTGTAAAATACATTAATACTTCCTTTATTACTTCACATTTTGCAGAATAAATACTAGCTGAAAAGATTTTTAAAATATGGAAGTCAAAGAGATGTCTAACTTTGTTATGTTTATAAACTTTGGAGTACACTGAGGAGTTAATGCAAATACTTCATTCACCTTTTTGAAAGCATACATAGGTGGAATTTACTATAAAGATCATGGTTCAGTAAAACAATAATCATAAAAATCAGGATTACATTACTTTCAATATGAATACTCATTATGAACAAAAAGTTTAATTTAACATAATAAAATCCTTTCAGGAAAACTTTAGAAAGTCATTATAATATCACTGATACAACTTAAAATGTTCGGCAAAAAGTGAGTCACTCTTTAGAGGAAGATGTGTGTATGGGTACTACCTATATTCATTTTGTGGCATTTTTCCCCCAATGTTTTACTACTGTTGGGCCAAAAAAGGGAACTTTGTATCTTTTTTCTTTCCCAGGTTAAGTCAAGTAATTTCTTTGGGTTTTAACAATTTTTCCAAGACAAAGCACACTCAATTTTACAATGGAAATCTATGACAGAAATCAAAATTACAAATGACATCTCAGGAACTTGTCTACAACATCAAAGATGAGATACCTACTATAAGGAAATGAACAGATTCTTGTCCTTTATTTTTCTGAACACAAATATATGAATATGAATCATATACTATATGAATATTTCAGTAAAATGAATAGTTTGATGGGTAATACAATGATAAATTCAAATAGTGATTTGATTTCAACCCTGGCTGTGGATTAGAATCACCTGTGGAGCTTTCTATAAAAAAATAGTTTTTCATGGCTCCATAGATATAACTTGGAAACATCAATTCAACAGTGCACAAAATTTATTATAAAATAGTTGTCAAAGCTCATTTTAGATGGTGCAATTCTTTTAAGCATGGTTAAACAGAACCTTTTCTGAACAGAGATATCTTGAAAATGACTCCAGGACACTTTAACTCAAAATATTCTGTCAATGTACATAGGTAGAAAGGTGTGGTGATCATTTTGTAATGTACAAAAAATAGTTATCACTATGCTGTACACCTAAAACTGATATACTGTAAGCCAATTATACTTCAACTAAAAAAGGAACTGAACTTAGAAATGGAAAATAAATAGAAAGGTAAACAAAACATATACAGAAGAGTCCCACGGTGCTCTAATAATATGGGACATGTAAATGAACAGTGAAACTCACAATGAAGACAGGTTAATAACAACATATGTAAAAGTCTTTGCTACCCTAGGGTAAGCCAGGAAAAACAAAAACATAAAGAGCTTCAGTACAAAAACATAAAAAACAAAAAACTGAGAGCTTCAGAACATGGCAAATTGATTTCTATTAGGCAAAAATTAACTAATGGTAAGAAAAATGAATGGGGTAATTTTAGGTAGCTAAAAAGAAAAACAAATCTAGAAAATACCTGGTAACTTGTGTTGGAACACACTTTCCATGATACGTTTAATTTCTAGTCTCTGTTCCAAGTTCTCATTGTGTAAGCCAAACTCCTGTACCACTTTGTCAATGGCAATACCAATTGCATTTATCTGGGAGGGTGTAGGCGGGGGTAACGTGGTGAGCAACTCTTCCTCTTGCTTCTCCTTTTAAGATCAATGTTGAGATTAAAAATGACTCACACCATTTTTACCTTCTACCAGTCACTGAGACAACACCCTGTACAGTACTCATTTTTCTCAGCCCTCCTTCTCCCTTTAGCTGTGTTAGTCTTCATCTTATCAAACACGCACAGACTTCTTTATGCACATAAAATGATAATAGAGGGAAGGGAGGAATAAGGAAAAAGTGTAAGGAAAGAACATTAGAAACAGCAATGGCAAATTATTTACTTTGTTATTACTGGCATAAGGACACATATCTAGGTCCTAGCATTGGCTTCATTCCTCCTGATACTGTCCTAAGGAAATTCACAAGACTACCCAGCAAAACATATCTGACCAGTATAAAGTATTCTGGTTAACATAAATTCAGCAATATAAATAACCAAATTATTAGTATCACAGTCTTAAGCAAAGTCATAAAGATGACAAGTAATAATTGACAAACATATGTGTTTAGGTTACATTACACTTACCTTAATGTTTTTCTTGTGCCTCTTCTCTTTGATATGCTTATGAGCAAATGCAATGGATTCAATTAAAACATCACAAAGTTTGCAGGTGTACTTTGCTGAAGGGTAGTTTCTTGGTCGCTACAATTTGAAGAGATTTACAGACATGTATATATTTGCATATAAATACATATTTATAGAGACATGTAGAGAGCAAGATGTATAGAGACAAAATACAGGTAAACAAAAGCTGGCCAAAAGATATTTCCTATACACTTATTAAATTGTTAATAAATTACTGTCACTATCATTACGCTAGTAATTGTTTTTTACAAGAAATTCTGAAAAAAAAAAAAGGAAACTTTATTAAATCAAACTGAATATCACTTTTGCTCTATAGTGCTTAAATACCAAAGCAGGATATATAATTCATTAAAGCACATGTTCCAATTACTAACTAGTTTAAACCAAAACAAGGATTTTAACTAACAAATAAAGCGGTTACCCTTTTCAGCCTGTCGATGCAGTCTCTTTTCAGCCGCTCCTCAGCCTGCTGTAAGCCCAGCAGCTCCTTCGTTGAAAGCATAGACTCATCGATCACAGGGCCTTCCAAATCTCCATCCTGTTCATTTTCGTCATTTCTAGTTCTCCGTGGCTTCCGAGGTCTGGACCTCGGCTTCTTGTTTTCTTAAGTTAGGGGGAAAATATTATTGGCGATACGGAATAACACCACTCCCAAGTCCAAAGCAGAGCTTACATATTTATTCATGAAATCACGTGATAGCTGAATGACACCTGAACACAGAGCAAAAGGGAAGGTACACCTCTCCCATGGATAAAATGCTTAACTGCTCACTAAACACCTCAACATGTGGATACACTAATCCACAGAAGCCATCTTTTTGGAAAACAAAGACTTCTACTTCAACCATAAAATCTGATTCTATCATTTCTTCCTGGTATACTGCTGAGCTTTTTCAAGCAATAGTAAAAATTATCACTTGAAAGCAAATACATCAGTAATTCTAATGTAATTAATACATCATAATATAATGTATAATACACATATATTTAATAATTTCTAATATACCTGTAAGGATACTTGGTATTCTAAAGAAAACTGTCCAATTTGCTTTTATTTTTTTAAGTATACAACCCCAATGGAGTAAAGATGGACAGTATATCTCCAAAGAAATCAGAAATCAACTTCATTCTTATCTGTAAATCGGGCAATCATAGAATTGGGCCCTCCCCCACGTTAAACTCAAGAAATTGAAGCCAAAATTTTATTTACTGAAGACAACTATTAACCATTTTATCTTTACTTTCATTTTAGCTTCTTTGATGAGCCTGCACAGAGAACATTTCAAATGAAAAAACAAAAACAAATTAGCAATGGAAATAAAAGCTTTCTGCAAGTACAGACTAATTCATCTGCTTATAAACTCCGCTGTTAGTTCTACAGTCCTTATAACTGATAAATGAATCTGTTCCTTTTTTAAGACTCAGGACTTTTCAACTTCAGTAAAACTGAAGACGTTTGTGCAATTCATCTACAAAAAAAAAAACTGTTCTTAATAGCTTCGGTAATTTCCATCAAGTTCTGAAAATGAAGTTGCTAGTACCATATAAAAGTAAAATGAAATTCATTTCCTCAATTAAAATTATGATTAAGTGGACTGAATAGTTTTTAAATGGCTTACCAAAAATTATTCTCTGAAAATATAAACAAACTGAAATGCTCTGCATGAAGCAGCTGCCATGACAGGTTTTCAGTGGAACTCATTACTTGTAGAGCAGGTACAATGAATCAGTTGATTGAAAAGAAATTATGTCAGGAAAGGGAGGTATAGGATCCTTAATTTAAAAAAAAAAAAGCTATCACTAACAGCTCTGAAGGAAAAGCAGCACCAATGTACTCAAACTACCCTGAGATGAATATAATTAAATTCTGCAAACAGCTTCAATACTATGATAAAGCAGCAATTAAAAAAAATAAAGAACTATTAGTACAAATAGCTTTTTTTTTTTAATAGGAATCAAAATGGACCAAACAAAATAGTAAAAGACAAATAGTTAAAATCAGTCTATTGCTTTTTAACACTTCCTCTATTCCCAACTAAATTAGCACAATCTTAAAAATCCACTGTTGGTTCACCAAAACAAAATTGATATGGAACCAAATTCCTTTTCTCACTTCTCTCTCGATTACAAAGGCTTCTCGCTCTATTTGCTATATAATTTTTCTAGAAAGAGTGACTTTAATTTCTCCCCAAAAGTACAGTTAACTTTACAAAGAGAAGTGGAGGGCTGCAGAGATTTTGCCTGATGATGACAACTGCAGCTACCAATATTAAGTATTTTTTCATGCAACAGATGCAACATAAGTACCCTAGGTGGCTTCAGATTAATCCCTAAAGTGATCCTATCATGGATGCTAATATTATCCCCAGGATACAGATGCAGAAAATGTGGTCCAAGAGAGTAAGTACCTTGTCCAGGCACACATGACTAAAGTAAATAAAGGGATTTGAAGCAGAGATTAGAGCATGACAGATTTCTGAAATTCATCTAACAACACAAGAAAAATCCTTTCTTGTAGGAAAGCTATTCCCATCTAAAACAGACTAGAACTCCCTTTTACTTTGTAAAATAAACAAACAAATAAATTAAATTAACCAGAACTGACAAGGTATACAAAATCCTAAACTGAATTTCATAGGCCTGCATGGTAAAAACAGTCAAATAAAATCTCATTGGAGGGAATCGAGGAAGGCAAAGCCGGGTATTGCTAAAAAAACTTTCCATAATTACTTAGAGGAAGAACTACCTGGCTCCTCCCAGGCTCTAGGTAGTAATATGAATTCTCTACATACAGTATTCCAAGTTTCTCATATTTTATTTGAATATGGTCCATTATTCCATTTACAAAAGATACATGTATTTGAATGGATGTTTCCAGCTAAGATCATTAATGGAACTGTCCCAACCATATTAAATTGGTAATCTAGGATATTTGAAGAATGAAGTAGGTAGGGGCAGTAAAGTGAACTGAAAAATAGAAAATTAGTATCAAAAAACAAAGCAATGCTATGATAATTTTCATTACATCTTTTCATATCCTTTAATAAGAACCTTTGTTATTAAGGTATGAGTTTAAGAAAATTTCAGTTCCTTTAATGAGAGCCTTTTAAGGATACTCTGAGTATAGTGCAAAGCTTATGCTATAAACTGAACTTCTTGCTACTGTAAGTAATATTATGCCAAAGCTTAATATTTTCTTTGTGAAGATTTTTAAAGGATAAAAACTGAACAGTCCTTCATTTCCAAACTGAAAGCAAACGCCTGTAATTTCATATAGAGAAAACATCAGTGTTTTGGATTGACTTAACAAAAAGATAGTAAAACTGCAGGTCCCATTCAATATCACTTAAGGTTTCCTTTTAAGACTAGACAGGAATACAGAAAAACAGGTTTTCAGCCTCTTGTAATATCTATCTGGTGGCAAACTTTTGAGCTGTAAACCTTTCCTTTTATAATGCTGCTCAAAATCAACCTTTTCTGAAAGACCAACAATTGATAACTAAATTAAAATGTCCATGTCCCACTTGGACACAGTAATAAAGAACTACTTAAATATACACAAACTTCGAAAGCCCAGAAATTATGTGTTCATTTCTCTCTGTCAGATTCCAGGTCAGTGAGGCCGAGTTCATGGCCAGAGCAGCACAGTACATGATTTCAGTCCCACTTCCTCATCTACCACTTTGCGTAAACAAGTAGGAACAAATTTAACCTCTCTGGAGATACAGCTACCTGCTCTGTAAAACTGTGATTCTACCTTTGATACATCATGACAGCGCTGCAATTCCTTCAAGTTCTTTCCAGCTTAAAGATTTACAAGGCTGTTTGATTCTTCTGTTTCTCTGCTACGTGGACAAAATCTATTTGTTTTTTAGAAGAAGGGATAAATAACAACTTTGGGGCAATTATCAAGCACATAGGGTGCTTAGAATTGGGTTTTGGTTTTACTGAAACTAAAAGGCAAAGCTTTTAACTGAATTTCTGACTTTTTAACCAATGTTTTTCAACCTGTTTGCTATGTTCACTTTTGAGAAAAAAAAAAATCTTGCACTCTCCTCCTCTAGACATTGATATTTCACACAAAAGATGTGTATCCCTCTGTACCAGAGATACATGCAATCTATACTATGCTTTTATATCAAATACTTTTTTTTAAGCTTTACATTCTGTCATTTATATTATGGAGACATACATTATTTCAAGTACAAAATTACAATATATAATTTAGAAAACACATACATACCACTCAGAAATTATGATATATCCCTAGGGGGATAAGATCACCCTCTTCCGTAAAAAGCACCAATGGGAAACATACTTTTACTAAGGTAAAACGAGCCTTGTGGCAAAGTAAACTTTTAAAGGAATCAATATATGCAGTGTGTTGAAGCTTCCCAAATAACATGATTATCCTTAAAATAATCACATTAAATAAGCCAAAACTATGAAAAATTGGAACTGCATTGCTGAAAATAATAAAGCTCCTCTGAATGAAAAATAAGACATTGCTGACTTCAGGGCTGTAACTTGACAAGTTGGAAACATTACCAGGGCTTCCCGCTTCCATTTCTGACATGGTGTCCAGGTTTGCCAGCTCTTTATGAAATAGTCGTCTTACAGTTCTGCAGCCTCTTCCATCTTGCCACCTATATCCATCTTCACTTTCCTGAAAAGAGTCTCTTCTTGGTCTGTTTATAACAGGGATTCTAGGTCCAGGTTTGTATTCTCTCCAACAGTCTGAATTACTGGCAAGTTCATCAGAGAGCCATCTCTTACTCTGATCTTTGTGGTTGTCATTGAGCCTAGTGGGTTGACTGTAAATTGGGTTCTTAAATGCATATGGATTGCTAGAAACAGCATACGGTCCTTTTCTGGGGGTATTCCCATAGTTCCCTGGTGTTACTTTTTTTTTGGGAAGGCCTTTTTCCATTTTACTGCTATGGCCTTTAGCATAATCATCCATTATTAAATAATCTTGTTGGGGGTGACCCCTTCTGAAATCCTCATCATCTGTAGTCCCTCGCTCTTTAGGACGCCTCACAAAATAAGGTTTTGTGACATCTCCCATGGTCTTTGACTTCAGTTTTCTTCCTCTTCACCTGAAAGAAGGTGTTTTGGAGAAACATCAAACTATCAATATAACAAGGCATCATATCAAATTCACAAAATATCACACACTTATTGTACAGATGCATAAAAGCCTGCAAGAAACCCTTTCCCTAATTTCCATCACATTCCAATAATCAGTGCATTATGTTAGAAGTGGGAGGCTTAGTTTTATAATATCTTCATAGAAATTAGTACTATTTAATATGAAGATGAAAACTAAATCTGTCTTAAAAACTAATATTAAAAAATGTCACTCATACCAAGCCGGTTGGCGTTTACCTATATAACGAAAGCTCTGTTCTTCAGAACCTCGGGCCCCCCCCCCAAAAAAAAACCCAAATACCTCACCCAGAACTATACTTCAGAGAACTCCCCAGTCTTTTAAAAAACAAGCTGGCAATTACTTTTTAGTGTTAATAGAGAGTAACCGAAACTTTGTGGAGGCAGTACATCTCTCGACTCCACTTTTCAGTCCCTTCTCGGTACCCTGGGGCCTCGGCTCCGCTCTCCACCATACAGAACGACAGGCTCCGATCCCTTGGGCTAGAGAGGCTGGGCTTCCGACAAGGCTGAGCTCGGGTCAGAGGGGCTGGCTTTACGACCAAGGGACAACTCCCGGTATCCACCCCAGACCTCATTTCCCCACCCCAAACAACTTCGGTTTTGTCATGAAACAGCAGTTCTCCCTCCTCGATCCCCAGGTGACCGCCCCACCCCCGATCTGCCTCAGTTTCCATCCTTTGAGTGGGAGACCGAGAAACAGGAGGCGTCTCCGCACTCCTGGCCACGAAGCCACCGCGGGGACCAGGAAGCAGGAAGTGACCTGCCTCCTAGATGGGGTTCCGGGGTTCCCCCCGGCGAGACAGGGGCCTGGGGGCGAGTGCCTCCACCCTGATCCCTTTTTCTCCAGTCTCCGAGGGGTTTGATACAAAGTGAAGGTGCGGACTCAAGCCCGAGAGCTCAGTCCTCGCCGGCCTAGGGGATCCCTGGTCCTCGCAACTGAGGCGAGGAGGCCGGCAGAGGATGGAGTCAACGTACCTCTGGGGCCAGGCCCGCCCTCAACTCTGGAGACCGGAGAACGCACCGGAGAGCCACCCCGGACGCGAGTCTGAAAGGGACACAGCGGGAAAGGCGCCCAGGAACACTCACCACCTCCGCCGCGGCCCCCCGCCTCTTCCTGTCCCGGCCGGGCTCCCTCTCCGTGTTTTCCTTCAGCCCCACTTCCGGCGCTCAGCGCTGTCTCATTGTGCGCGATTGGGAGCCGGCCCTGCCCCCGCCCGAGCGCTCCGTCGCGCACGCCGGAAACGCCCGCCTCACCCGGAGCCCCGCCCCTCCCGCTTCCGCCATGGCAGTGGTTGTTGCGCCCGCGCGTTTTATGGGTGTCGGGCGTACGGTCGGGTTCGGGGCTTCGGCTGTTAGCTCTTGTTCACTTCGAGGTGTACTTACCTGGCTTTCTCTTTCTCTTGGATCTCGAAAGCACCGGGAAAGCGTGCAGAGGAAGCCTCTGGTTCTCCACGGGGAGACGCGGAGCTCGCGGTCTGGGCGCAGCAATACGCCCGGGTCGGCTCGGAGACTCGGATTTACCTCTGGATGCTTGGAGTTGCCTGTGGGCAAGTTCAGCCTGGGCCTGAGGCCTCGTAACGCTTGCTGTTTTTCTGATAATTCGAATGATTGACCGTTTCTGTGAGATCTTAGTTACCCACTCTCTAGAAACGCTAACGTTTAAGCGTCCCCTGTTCACCCAGGTCTCCGTTGGGCTCAGGGAAATGCTTTCTCCCCACCCTCCCCCGCCCGCCCCGCCTCTTAGATTGCGTGCGGGTTAGTTTCTCTTAAAAACAAAATTTTGTTTTGAAAAAAATGTATAATCGCACAGAATGACCAAGGAGGGCATTCATTCGCGAATTTTTGAACGGAGAATTTTCTAATGCAATTAGCGAACAACCTGTATTCCTTTTTTCCCTCTCTTTTCTGTTGAGTTTACCTTCCCTGCTATCTGCCGTGTTATAAATACTTTGAAAGCCTCTAGCAGCTAATTAGGGAGTGTCTAGAAAATGCGACAGTTTTGATTTATCTGCTTTTTAAGGGCGTTTAAATTTAAACCCATGAGATTCTGTTGGGATTATGGTCTTAATCCCCACACGATCGTACTGGCTGTTGCCAGGCACTGTTCTGAGTGCTTTACAAATAATTACTCATTTAATCCTCACGACAGCTCCACTGGGAAAATATCATTATCCCCATTTTAAAGGTAGGGAAATCGTGTTTATGGTGAAGTAAATAGAGCCACTGGAATCCAATCACTAATAAGGCAGTGTATTCTTAACCACTGTCTATACTAAAGATGATTTAAAACAGGTAGGTACAAGTTTTGTATAATGCTTTAGCTAGATGCTTTGGTTCTGAGAATACCTGACATGGTAAGGATCTGACAGGCAGACAGTGACCTTTTATAAAAAGGTCTTTGGGCTTATAAAAAGTCCAAAGGGAGTGTGATGATACATGACTGCATTTATTACATGGGCCATCACACCTAGTCGAGTAATTCTGTATGGAAGAACTGGTTTAGGAAAAGTTGGTCTTGACTGTTTAGAGTTCTGGAGTAGTAGAGGATACATCTTTTTAAGGGTCTAAAGTATTTTTTATTTGCATTTTTAAATTTGGTTTGATTACTTTTGGGATGTCTATGGAGGGAATACTGAGTTTCTTTGAATTTTTGAGGGCTTCCCTTGTGGCTCAGTTGGTAAAGAATCCGCCTGCAGTGTGGGAGACCTGGGTTCTATCCCTGGGTTGGGAAGATCCCTGGAGAAGGGAAAGGCTACCCACTCTAGTATTCTGGCCTGGAGAATTCTGGCCTGGACTATATAGTCCATGGGGTCGTAAGGAGTTGCACAGGACTGAGCAACTTTCAATCTTTGAGGTGATTGCTTCATGGTCCAGACCTGTTTCCAACAATTTGAGTTAGCATTGTGGGGGCTGGTTTAGAGGTCATTAACAAATTGCAAAGATCTAACAAAATCTGCTTCTGCCTGCTGTAAAATCTCTTAGGTAAATTATTCCAGGATTTTATATTTATGATCTAAGAAGTTGTGTAAAGTGAAAGAATTTTATTTCCAGTGTGTGTTTTTAAACCTTGGGAAAATTGGTGAGTTGGTATATGTGAATAATTAAAACCTAGACTGTACTGTTCCAGAATCAACCATTTATTTAGGGTCATTCATCCTTTTCATTTTTTCAACAAATGTTGAATGCCTGATACGTGCCTGATACGTGAAAATAGTCTCTGTTCTCAAAGTGTTGAAAAATACAGTAAAGGTACAGAATGTCCTGAAATTGAAAATTTAGGACTTTGCTTAGATGAATGTACTCCTCCCACCCCACCCCTCCAAGACCCCCCAAAACTGAGCTAATCTTACCCTGGGCTCTACTTCACTATGGGAACTATGGGGAAAAATTTTTAAGTTGTCAGTTAACATTATCTCAAGTCTTTGCTAAGTCACATCTTTGATGATTTGGTTTCTTGGATATATGCCCCATATTTCACATTTCTTTCTCCACTCCCTTTGCATGCCATGTGGGTGTGATGATCTGGAGTCATAATGATTGAAAAGAAGTGTCCCTGGCTGTGTATCCACAAGCTCTTTCAGGGGTTTTCTTGCTTCTCTGGTCTTTTCAGTCTCTGTTCTTTGCCTTGTTGCTGGGTGTCTGATGCTGAGGTGTGATACTCAGGGACTCGTGGCTAGTTCACCCAGCTTAGTCCATCTCCAGTGGTTTGCCAACTTGGACCCATCCTGCACTTGATGGCATCGTGCATCTCTCCTGAGATCTAGCTGCAGCTTCCAGGAGATTTTCACTGTGTGTGGTCAACTACTTCTTCCTAATTGGCAGTCTCCTGGTTGCTTTACCATCTGTCTTCCTTGGTATCAAGAAGAATCCAGAAACATATTGACTCTTTTCAGGGATACATGGAATCTCAAGATATGCCTGAAAGTGCCAATTTCAGCTTCCTCTGCTTGACTTTAGGTTCCCCACAGCCCTGCTCTGCCAGGGCTTTTTTTTGGGTTTAACTTCCCAAGAGGCCTCAGCATTTACTGAATCAGGAACCTGAGAATATCCTTGGCCTCATATACTACTCCCTAGAGCCTGCAGCTCTCCCTTTGCAACTGAAAATTGGGGGCTATCTGAGGCTGCCGAATTTGTCTCTAGGCCATCTTCAGTCTTTACAGACTCAACCCACAAAAGATACTAGGAAGCTGCTGCAGCGCCTTGCCAACCAGCCCAGCACAGGTGAGGTCCTTTGTCCCAGCACTGGACACCAGGCAGTGATGGAGGGAAATTAGCTGTATCTTCAAAAGGAGATAGAGCTGGTTGGTGCGTGGGTCTTTGGCAGTGTTAGTGATAAAAAGATGGGAGAGGAACAAAGGAAACTGCTACTGACTGACTAACCACTGGGCTAAGCAATCAGTACTGTGTGTCTGATTTCTCACAATTCTACAGTTCCTGAATTATGCTAGGAAACAGGTTCAAAGGGTAAAGTCATAGGTGTATAGTAACATGGCTTAACTGGCCTGTTTGCAATGTGACCACAACCTTTTTAGACTTTAGCACTTAACTTTTTTTTTTTTTTTTTTTACTGTACCATGCACCAAGCTTCTCTCCCCTGACTGAACGCTGATACCCCCAGGAGCCAGTGTTTCTGAATTCTCCTTCCTTGAGACCACTCTCTGAAACTGTAGTTCAGTTGTCTTGGGCCATGGCTCCAGCTCTGCCTCTGCTTTGATTTTTGGTAAATTATCTTCCCTCATGGTCTTCAGGTTCCTTGACTGTAAGCATGAGAAGAAACCTGATGCCAAACATCCAGTCAGTATTCTTGACTAATTGTGAACAGCTCAGTTCTCATTAGTAACTAACTTTGGGCTGTGCATTTTAGTATATATATAGAGAGATAGATAGATAGATAGATAATGACTTGTCTTTATTGATTATTTTAAATCTATGAAGATTGCATTTATGTACTTTGAGGTTTATTTTTAGATTATCTTCTATTTATGATATCAAATTTTTCTCTATAGTGGTGATATAAAATCTTTTTTTCAAATACATGAGTTTAAAAAATCTTATCCATTTAAAGAAAACTAGTAATAATTACTGAGGGATGTCAAAAATCATGAAGACAATATACATATGATTGAACTTTGGGAAGCATTGGACCCAGTGATGGAGAGAGAAAATGCCCAGAATTAAACACTGAGGCTGTCCAACATTTAGACATTAAGAAAAATAAGAGAAGCTGATAAGACGGAAGAAGGAAGAGAATCAGTGATAAGAGGGCTTTTAAGAGAGTGTAGTGAGCTGTTCTGGCCTGATGGATGCCGAATGTACCCAAACTGCTACATCCCCTTGGGAGGGGGGGGATCCCTAACCAGCCTAGGTTGAGACAGTTCCTAACGTCGGGTGCTGTGCTGTGCTGTGCTTAGTTGCTCAGTCATGTCCGACTCTCTGCGACCCCGTGGACTGTGCAGGCTCCTCTGTCCATGAGGATTCTCCAGGCAGTAATACTGGAGTGGGTTGCCATGCTCTCCTCCAGGGAATCTTCTCATCCCAGGGATTGAACCCAGTTCTCTTGCATTGCAAGCGGATTCGTTACCATCTGAGCCACCAGGGAAGCCCAGTATTGGATGGGGTTAACAAAAATTTCCTGAAGCAGTCCCTGCCAAGTAACAGCCATTGCTTTGCAACT